CGACCATGCGCGGGTGCGCACGGTCGTACAAAGCTGCGCGCACCAATGCGCGGCCGTACGCAGCTGCGCGCTGCTGCTGCTGTGTTCGTGACAGAACGGGGCGGGGCATGCAATGCGCGCAACGAGCAGGGCACAACGGGCGCGACGGGGAGACGAAACGAGGCCGCATCTGACGTCGTCGCGCAGCTCGCCGCCGAGACCGTTTTGACGATCGCGACCGTTGAAACCGTCGTAACTACGGCCGCAACGGGGGGCGTGACGAGCGCCATGAGCGGGGGGATACGTGGTGGGCCCATGGGGGGAAAAAAAATAGGTATTAGGACGACCTAGCTCTTAATACCATGTTAGAATAGTAGATTAAGTGAACACTAGGGTTTGGGGTAGGAGGAGACTTGAGAGAGGCATATGTCGAGAGAGTTTAGCCAAAGAGGAAGAATTCACTATTGAGCGAGGTACAAATAGTAAACAAAGCATGTAAAGAAGGTGCACCACCAACAGTTTATAATAACTACTCTTACTACAGCTACATGCAGTTACAGATATATTCTAACATGGGGCGGCAGGTCAGGGGCCGCGACGGAGGGCGGCAGGGCAGGGCCGCGACGAAGGGCGGCAGGGCAGGGCCGCGAGGGCCGGAAAAGCAGGGCCGCGACGGGCAGGGCCGCGACGGGCAGGGCCGGGACGGCAGGGCCGCGGCGGCAGGGCAGGCGCTCGACGGCGCAAGTGAGGCATGCGCGAGGTGCGCGACAGGGCAGGAAGGCGCGGTTGCGCGCTTCGGGCAGGGCAGGGAAAAGAAACCGTGGTGGGCCCTTGAAAAAAAAAAATCGTTCCCACTAGGGAACCTGCTCAGAATACCATGTGAGAATAAGAACGAGGAATGACTAGAAACAGGACAGTACAAGGTTTGTATAGGCAAAACCTAACAATTCTGTACCTCATAAGGAGTGCCCCACTACAGCCTACAATATAGTTCTGACACGATGGTCAAACGGAACGGAAGAATCCGACGATGGAGCAGTTGATCCGTGCCACGTGCGACGACCCGACAACTTGGGAACAGCAGCTGCCGCTGATCGAGTTCGCGTATAACAACGCCACGCCAGCGACAACGCAGCAGTCCCCGTTCTACCTGAACTACGGGCAAAACCCTACAGTGCCCATGACGCCGAGTCCAGACAACCCAACGCCACGCGCACAACAATTCGCCGAGATTCTGCAAGCTGCCCGCACCAGAGCCGGCGAAGCAATAAAAAAGGCCAATGTCATCACTAAGCGCAACGCTGACCGCCACCGCCGCCCAGTTACGTACCACTCAGGAGATTACTAACTTCTCGACACACAGAACTTAAGACTTCTCGTCGTGCCGAAATTACGACCGCGCTACTGTGGACCATTCCAAATCAGCCACATGATTACCCCAGTGATAGCACACTTACTGTTGCCGACGGACTGGTACATCAGCCCTTCATTCCACGCCAGCCTACTTCGCCCATACATCCCAACCACAAGCCAGCTGCCTCGTCACCGCCCGCCATCCATGACTCGCCCTGCATCGGAGCCGATCATTGAGCAAAAAAAAATACTGAGCCATCGGATTCGACACCCCACGGGAATCAAGAGGATTAAATTCCTCGTTTGCTGGAAGGACCACACGCCAACTGAGGATAGTTGGGTGCCCCTGACCAACATCGAAAACCATCCTGCCCTGCAAGCGTACATGAGGAGCCGGGGTTTCCGCGATATACACGCACTCGCATAGCGGAGGGGGGGGGTAGTGTAAGGAAATTTCTCGACATTCCTTAGCGCATTCCACAACATCGCGTACAGCAGCAGCCGTTGTTCGCCCGTTACAGCTAACGGGGCTTCGCCGACTTCACGCGCACTGTTTCACCAAACCTCGCACTACTGGACCGGCCGTGTCGGTCTACGCTTCGGGACTAACCCGAACCTCACTGCCAGCGTAGCACTAGCTAGCTCGCATGCACCGTGTTACCGTTTGCATGTTTCGCGTATAAATGTTTGCTCATGCCTTCGCTCACATTTTGTACTCGTTTGGCACTTAGTGCAATCCTCGCTATCTCGATTCATTGCACCCGTAACAGAGCCGTTAATTTTCCGAACGGATGACTGTACAAAGTTCAACAGTTCTGCATTCTGGTTGGCGCACGAACTTGGCAGGTTGGGTAACGTTGGGAACTGCATGGTGAAATCACAGTCCCATTGTTTGTGTTGCGAGTGCACATTACTTCGGGAATTCCAAAAGGTTGAAAAAAGTATCACATCGTCCATTTGCGGTGCTTCCGTTCGACGGTGGTTCATCCTGAAGTGGCCCAGCTAGTTAGCTGGTTCACTTCGGAAAGATGAGGTCCCGTAATCAAATCCCCCCTGCGGCGTTGACAGCCAGTCCCCACTAAAAGGGACTACACAGGTGCTCATCTGGGAGTGGATAGAACAACCTCGTTACTCAGCGAGGCGTGTAAACACATGGGGAGGCGGGTTACGAGCGACAGCCGGGGTAATACTAAAGGGGGTTTCCCCTATAACTTTACTTTACTTTACCGTTCGACTGTGGTTCAGAACGTGATAAGGGGCATGGTTCGCTACGATTTAGGGTTTGCCAACCAAGCCAAAAGTAAAGTGGTGACGCGCTCTACCTTCCCACCAAGCCTTGACTCAACGGCATCTACGATTAGTTTAGTGCGGGTTAACACGTTGCAGAACATTGAGACTTGTTTTCGTACGGTTTGGTAGTACTGGTTTTCATTCACAACTCCCTCACTGGATAGCAGGGTACCATGGTTGTAGGAGATGCTTCTCAAGTGCAAATTTGGCATGTATAGGAACAAGTCAAAATTTCATCATGCTTTCTTGAAGCTGCCTTGCATGCGGTCATGATAGAAATAGCTCAACATTAGCCGTGCATTCGTGACGTTACAGGATGAAATTTGGCATGCAGCAAGGCGGGATTCCTCATCCATGCGTTCTAGAAGCTCTGGCGGAATTCGCCCAGCCAAGCATGAGTATTGAGAAAAAGCCTAGTAGAAAATGGACGTTTCCAACCCAATCTTTCCCAGGTGGCAGTCGATCCACGCAAGCGCATTACGCAGGAGCAAAAAAAAAAGAAAAAAAAAGCTTTGTTTAGGTCCGCAGCACAAACAAACATCTAGCAAGCCATTCCTTCGGAAGGCATCAGCCCTAAACACTTGTCTCTCAATGCTAGCTTCCTAAAGACTATCTTTAGTGTGATCAACCTCAGATCTGTTTCCTCCTACCGCACTGTTTCATATATTATCCATCCAATCAACAGGAGCTAAATCTGCAATTAACGACGAGTTACTACACGGCACGATTGTGCTAGAACGTCACAGCTCTGGAGATCCAGTTCCAGGTGCCGTCCTTAGTTTTTGGGTTTCATTTTGGAGCTGTCCAAATTCCTTGAATCTCATTGTGTGCCGTCCTTTGTCCTGGGTTCTCGTTTGTATGCTGCCCTTAGTCCCTGGCTCTCATTTGTGTGCTGCCCTTAGTCCTTGGGTCGCGTTTGTGTGCTCTCATTGGTCCTTGGGTCTTGTTTGTGTGCTCTCCTTGGTCACTGAGTCTCATTTGGGTGCTGTACTCAGTCCGGATCACTTTCGGGTGCTGTCCCTAATCCCTGGGTCTCGTTTGGGTGCTGCCCTAGATCCTTGGACTCGTTTGGTGACTCTAAAAAACTTTTTTTCTCCTTCGGTGTTCTCTATCATTGTGCCCCTTGTGCCTCAGAGAACTATCGCAGCTATCATCTGAAGCAGATCAACTTGTTGTCTACCAAGGGGGCACAGTGGAGGAGCGGCGTTGACGGGCAGTGTGTGCGAGGAGTGGCGTTGACGGGCAGTGTGTGCGAGAAGCGGCGTTGACGGGCAGTGTGTGCGAGGAGCGACGTTGACGGGCAGTGTGTGCGAGGAGCAGCATTGACGGGCAGTGTGTGCGAGGAGGAGGCGACGCGACAGCAATGGAAAAGCAGCCGCAGGAGGTGGAGGTGCCATCTGTGCTTTTGAGTCGACTCAAAGGCGGACGGAGGAGAGAAACCTCAACGCCATGCGCTTCCAGCTCGAAGTGGACATTGGCCGAGGTAAGCTTTGTAGTATGAGACAGACAGCCTGAAGGATAGGTAGAGGGGAGAGTTGCAAGTGCTGCAGAGGTAATTGAGGTGGCTCAGAGGTGAAGGTGGTGAGGTAGGAGGTGCTTGCTCGGCAAGCGGTGGTTTTGACCCCCATGCGGTGTTTGCAACCCTGAGGCGGTGTTTGTGCTCCAGGAACGAGTTGACACCCTGTTGAAACGGATGTACTCCTGCATAGAGCAGCACCACATGGGACTGAACCACCTCATGCGAAGTGCTAACGCCGGATGGGACGTGTTACTGCTTGAGAATGGGCAGCAGGGCAGAAACGCCTCGTGGGAAGTGGTAACACTACTTGTGAGTGGGTTTACTGCATAAAAATGGGCAGCAGTGCAGAAACGCCTCGTGGGAAGTGGTAACACTGCTTGGGAGTGGGTTTACTGCATAAGAATGGGCAGCAGGGCAGAAACGCCTTATGGGAAGTGGTATAACCACTTGGGAACAATTTGTTGCATGAGGACGGGCAGCAGGGCAGAAATGCCTCATGGAATTGGTAACACCGCATAGGCACGGGTAGTATTGCAAGAGAACGGGCAGCAATGCAGAAACACCGCGTGAGGGCCGAGAATACCGATTTGGAGTCAGAAACACCGCTTGAGGGTTGAAAGTACCGCTTGTGGGTCAGAAACACCGCTTGAGAGTGAGTTATCGTTTAAGGTTCAGATCTCATATGGTGTTTTCCGTTTCTTGAGTGGCTGCATGATGTCGCCTGTTCCATGTGTTTCTCGTAAGAATGTGATGTTTTTCCTGTTCCGTGTGTCCTATCTTCTTTTTCAACCCCCCCAACGTAGCACGGATAAGGAAATTGGAGGAGCAGGTGCAGGCAGGTACTAGCGAGGAGGACAGAATGGGGGCGTTGGAACAACTGAACCGTGCTCTGAGGGAAGAGCTACAAGAGTCGTTGGATAAGATTGAGACCCCAAGGGGCCAAGGCGAGGTGCTGCAGAGGGAGAAGGAGGAGCTTCAGGCAAGACTTGTTCGCGTGAAGAAGCAGGTGAGGGCAGAGACGCAGAGAAGTGGGGGTTTGCGAGTGGTGAAGAGGGGGGAGAAGCGTGGGGGGGAGGTGGGAGCATGTAATTGAGGAGGGTGGATCATATGCATGTTGTGCATATGCTTTCCTCCTCCCCTTTTTAAATATAGGTAGTTTTCTTAACATTGCTTTTATGAGTATGCAGGCCCAAGGTGTGGAGTGGCTGAGGCCGAGGTTGCTATGTTGCTGCAGCAGGTGGCGGCATCCCATTTTCTGAGTCGACTCAAAAGCACTCTCCCCTCTATTTTTGTGCATGCAGGCCCGTTTGCAGGTTGGAGTGGCAGAGGAAAAGGCTGCTGCGTTGCTGCAGCAAGTTCTGGCATCCCAGCAGGCAGAGTTTGCTCTCAAGATGCAAGTTGTGGAGCAGGACAGGCAGAGAGCTGCCTTGGCACGTGAATTGAACGCGTGCCAGGCAGAACAAGCAAGAACTGCTGCTGAGAGGGATCAATTCGCCAGGGAAACAGCACAGCTGGTGTGCGCACAACAGGAGGCGAGGCAAAAGCTGGTGGAGGAGGAGAGGGCGGAGGGGCGGGTTGTGGAGTTAGCAGCTGCTAACAGGAGAAGTGCAGTCATGAGGCAGAAAGCTGCAGTGCAGTGAAGGCAGCTGAGAGCATATGTGGAAGGCACAAAAGCAGATAAAGGTTCTTGTGGGGGAGAAAGAGAGAGCAGTCGGGCAGGCAGCAGGGGAGCTGGCAGCTGCTAACGAGAGATGTGAAGCTATGAGGGAGAGTGCTGCAGTGCAGGAAAGGCATCTGAGAGGAGATTTGGAAGAGACACAAAAGCAGATAAAGGCTCTTGTGGAGGACAAGGAGAGGGCAGAAAAACAGGTGGATGATCTAGTGGGGGAGATGGAGAGAGCTCAGGAGCGTATTTTAGGGATCAGAGCTGCTGAGAGGGAGAAGAAAAGGGCGCTGGAAGAGCAGATTTGCGCTTTGGAAGATGCTGGTGAGGGGGCATCTGGTGGAGATAGAAAATATTCTACGAGAGGAGGTCAGAAAGTTGGAAGAGGAGAAGAGGACGTTGCCGGAGGAGGTTGAGGGAGTGAGAAGAAAACTGATGGAGACAGAATATGCAGGGAGAGCACTGTTGTGTGATGCAATCGTATGCATTCACATATGTCCGCCTCCCATCATGTATTCGTGCGCTGCATGCGTGGTGTGAGCGTGTGCAAGAATTTGTGTTTTGTGCGGTTTGGTTTTTTTTAGTGTGTGTGTGAATATTATTTGGCTTGAACAGATATCTGAAGTGACTCATGTGCTCAAGAGCTTTCCGACGAACCAAGTATCGCTTCAATCGGAGCACGAACAAGAAAGTTACGAACGTTGGAGTTCGTATGCTTTTCATATTTGATTGTGGCAACTGTGGGAAGTTGTGGGGTTGACTCAATATGGGGTATAGACTTTTGGGGGTTGGGAAATTCCTCAACATCACTGTAGATGCTGCCAAGTGGTTGGGAGAAACTAAACCAGGTTGGCAAGTATGGCCAAGTTGGGTTGAGGTGGATTGTGGAGGTTGGGATAGTGACAAAGGTCAAAGTTGGGTTGCCTATGGAGAGGTGAATTGTGTGGCATGGGGTTTCCTTGGTTGGGGACTCCTTGGGGACTTTCCCTCCCGTCCTCCTCTTCCCTCCCATCTGGTTGATTGCTACTCGAACTTCCTTGTGTGGTAATTGTGAGACAATTGTGATTGAGTTAAGATTCTATGACAGCATACCCCTTAGTGCGCTGAAATTGATAGCTCAAGAACGACTTCATCTTTTTGTACGATTCAAATTGGGAATTGTAGCCACGGAGTAGAGCTACAACATATCCGAAATTGGTGGAGTTTGAACTGTGCATTTTTCGTCGACAACGTTTCATGTGAGTGCGACGATTCTGTCCAGAAATTGAGACCAACGATTTTGTGATATTTCGGCCCCTATTCTTCATAGACTCCGTCCTTAGTCTCTAACAAGCACAACTGGGAATGTTAGAAGGGGAGAAGAGGAGCTTGGAGGAGGAGGTTGAGGGAGTGAGGAGAAAACAGTCAGCGACTGAAGCTGCTAGGAGGATCGAGGTTAGGGTGTTGGAAGGGCAGAAGAGGAGCTTGGAGGAGGAGGTTCAGGGGATGAAGAGACAAATGGAAGATTTCGAGAGGGAGAGTGTGAGGGCGTTGGCAGGGCAGAAAGAAGAGCTCAGGTTGGCTTTTGAGACGTCTCAAAAGGCGCTGGCAGAGCAGAAGGAAGAGCTCAGGTTGGCTTTTGAGACGTCTCAAAAGGCGCTGGCAGAACAGAAGGAAGAGCTCAGGTTGGCTTTTGAGACGTCTCAAAAGGCGCTGGCAGAGCAGAAGGAAGAGCTCAGGTTCGCTTTTGAGACGTCTCAAAAGGCGCTGGCAGAACAGAAGGAAGAGCTCAGGTTGGCTTTTGAGACGTCTCAAAAGGCGCTGGCAGAGCAGAAGGAAGAGCTCAGGTTGGCTTTTGAGACGTCTCAAAAGGCGCTGGCAGAGCAGAAGGAAGAGCTCAGGTTCAACAGGGAGCTGGCGAGTGATGTTGTGGGACAACTGGGTCACTTGAAGGGATTGCTGGAGGCCCGCTTTGCTGCAGCTATCCCTGCTGCAGCTGCCGCGGCTATCCCTGCTCCTGCTGTTGCTATCTAGATTGCTGCGGCTGCTAATACCGCTGCTGCGGCTGCTGCTGATGCTAACCCTGCTGCTTCAACACCTCCCTCTGCTGTTTCTATGCCTGCTACTACTGGTGATGCTTATGTTGGTGCTGCCTCTGCTGTTCCAGATTCTCCTGCTGCCTCTGCTGTTCCGAATTTTCCTGGTGCACCTGCTGTTCCAAATTTTCCCACTGCACCTGCTGTTCCGAATTCTCCTTCTGCACCTGCCGTTCGAAATGCTCCTGCTGCTCCAAATGCTCCTGCTTCTCCGAATTCCCCTGCTGCTCCTGCTGCTGCACCTACTGCTGCTGCTGTAGAGAGCGAAGGCGCCTCGCTTGCCCTTGCAACGATTGGGCTCCCTCCTGTCACAATTGTGAGGCAACTCAAGACAAGCGTGAAAGCGGTGAATGGACTGCTAACATCTGCTGACCCCAAGGGGAAATACCAGAGCACCTGCGAGGAGCTGAAAAAACTACAGGACCTACTAGACTCAGCTGGTGAGACTGTTTCGTGTAGAGAGGGGTGGAGGGGGGAGGAAGATCCAGTCTCAACTGGCAGCGGGGGGGAGGTGTTCCAGGTCGGGAAGGTAAACTTACTGGTCTGCATGTGATCACCAATAAAACATCGACGACATTTGATCATGGTGCTTCAGAGAAAGAAACTGCACTGGCAGAAGGAGGTAATGGCAGCAGAAATGGCAGCGGCAATGGCAGCGGTAATGGCAGCGGTAATGGCAGCGGTAATGGCAGCGGTGATGAAGAAGCCTCCACAGATGGACCTCCAACCTGGCAGGTTCATGTAAAAGCATTCTGCAAGGAAATGGGTCAGCTGATTAGGGACTACCAGCTTAGTAACCACCTGCAGCAGCCAGAGCTAACATGCAAGATCTTGGGCAAGTTGCATGAACTGTTATTAGTAAACCGGTGGGCTGCGGAGGTTTGACGTCCATCAACTTGGATGTTATTAAGACGGCGAAACAAACTCCATGAGATGAAAGTGGGAAGCCTGGTTTAAGCTTGTATGCTAGATCGTATTTTAGTAAGCCAGTTTGAACGAAAACGGAATCTTAAATCTATGGGCAAGTTGCACGAAGCGGAGAAGCTTCTATGTGAATGTGGGTTCTATAATGTCACTCGCTCGCCAAATGGAGGGAGGACCCAGGCGCTCTTTCCCCATGGCCCAGGGAAGAAGAACCGGTCTCTCGGCTCATGGAATGACGACTCGGCGCAGTCATTCTCTGCTGCGCGAAAACTGGTTCTCTGTGCAGAGTTTGTCTTTAAACGGAGGGATTACGAGTTGGTGGGTGGGAAGGAAGGGAGGTTGCCGGATTTTTGGAAGCAGTGCGAACGGTTTCTTGGAGAGCCGCTCATGGGGAAGTTGAAAGCGGTTACAGAAAAACAGGCATCGAAAGCTCTTGAAGAGCATATGTGGGGCGCCTTTATTGATGAAGTTGAGAAGACTGAGAAAGGAAAACCTATCAAGGAGCCATGGCAACTGGTGCCTCATGGAGATATGTCTGGGAAGAGGAGGAGGGGGAAGGATGAGGGGGAGGAGGAAGGACGAGGAGGAGGAGGAACGACAAAGAGGACAAGGAATGACGAGGGAAGGCATTGAGGATACGGGAGCACATAGAAGAGGAGGAAGAAGTGTAAAGAAGAGGCGAAGTAGGTTGAGTTGAGGGGAGAAGCAGGGAGGGGGGCTGACATGACAAGTGTGAAGGTGTACAATATGGTCTGTGCATGGATGCCTGGGGTGTGCATGGGTACCTGGGGTGTGCATGGGTACCTGGGGTGTGCATGGGTACTTGGGGTGTGTATGGGTACCTGGGGTGTGTATGGGTACCTGGGGTGTGTATGGGTACCTGGGGTGTGCATGGGTTGCTGGGGTGTGCATGGGTTGCTGGGGTGTGCATGGGTTGCTCGGGTGTGCATGGGTTGCTGGGGTGTGCATGGGTTGCTGGGGTGTGCATAGGTTGCTGGGGTGTGCATGGGTGCATGGGTTGCTGGGGTGTGCATAGGTTGCTGGGGTGTGCATGGGTGCATGGGTTGCTGGGGTGTGCATGGGTTGCTGGGGGTTATTCTTTCGCGTGTTCTTTGATTTCTACCTTTTCTTTCATTTTTACTTGGGAGTTGGTATGCACAGGGCAGTAGAAATAGTTGGATACCTCAAAGTCCGGCGGAGCTCTCTAGCCTAGGCAGAAGCACCAATGTACATAAGCTGCCTATGTAGAGAGATCGTTCCTTGCTCGTTTTTTGTGCCCTTCTTTCTTCTTCTTTTTTGTGCAATTGCTGATTTGTCTCCTCGTGTCTGCGCCAGGGGGGGATGATGCAGTTAAATTTGCAAGGGAGAATTCACAAGGTATTTTCATATTGGAAAAAAAAGAAATTTTTGTATGCAGTGAGCAGGAGCTAGATGAACGGAACGGCGAACAAGGTAAGGAGAGGCAATAGGGGAAAGAAAAAAGGTAGCAAAAGGGAAAACGGACAAAAGAAGGTGAGACTAAGTTCTTCTGACAGGGGCGGGCCAGTTCTTCCCTCATTGCATCTCACCGCACGTCGTCTCTCTGCTTGTCTCTCCTAAGGTTGAGAAGCTAGAGCAGGTGGAGGAGCGCAGGGTGATGGAGCAAGATATGCTGCTGGACTAAATCAACACAGCTGGACAATTAACGAACTGTGCTGGACTGAAAACCAACGGTGCTGGACAATAAGTCAACAGCGCCCATTGTCGTCATCATTCCCATCTGTATGCCCCCAGGCTTGATTTTGCCACTATTTCCTGTTGCATCTACTGCTATTTCTGGCACCGTTTTAACATGCTACACTGTCACTGGTGTGTGTTGCGCTTCTGCATACATGCATCAAGATGGAAACTCTACACACTTTGCCGCTCCAATTTCCTCCTTGCCCTCTTGTCTCTTCCAAGGTGATAGCAATTGGTGAGAGCTCTCACCTGCTAAGGTGCTCAAGGCATAGCAGACGAAAGATGCGCCTGTGAAACGGCTATGGTATGCTCAAGTCACATCCTTTCCATGTCATCGTTGATTTGCAGGCTTTGTATCATCAGGCGAAAGGTGGGACTCATTGATCTGCTCTGGCAAGCCAGTCCCTTCTCTCTCGCTCGCTCACAACTTTTCCAAGTCTTCTTGAAAAATGACACCCCCTTAGAACCCGCTGTTTTTACAAACCTGTTCTCATTCATTACTAACCCACCAGTATTATCGTTGGATATTAATCAAGTGTGTTGCTAACCCATCCCATTACAACCGTCCTTCTCACCCCATCTTATCTCATCTCATCCCATCCCATTCATCTCATCCCGTCAACCCCATCATCCCTTTTCGTCCTATCCCATCCCATCCCGTCCCATCTCAACCTATTCCATCCCATCCCATCCCATTCCATCCCATCCCATCCCATCCCATCCCATCCCATCCCATCTCATCCCATCCCATCCCATCCCATCCCACTCCATCCCATCCCATAAAATCCCATCCCATCCCATCCCATCCCATCCCATCCCATCCCATCCCATCCCATCCCATCCCATCCCATCTCATCCCATCTAATCCCATCCCACTCCATCCCATCCTATCTCCATCCCATCCCATCTCATCCCACCCCGTCCCCCACGTTACCCCACCCCATTCCACCCCATTCCATACCATCCCATCCCACCCCACCCTTTCCCATCCCATCCCACCGTTTCCCATCTCTCATCCCACCCCATCCCAACCATCCCATCCCATCCCATCCCATCCCATCCCATCCCATCCCATCCCAACCCACCACACCTCATCTCACCTCACCTCACCCCACCTCACCTCACTGATCCTCACCTCACCTCATCTCATCTCAACTCATCTCCTCTCATCCCATCCCATCCCATCTCATCACATCCCACCCCACTCCACCCCACCCCAATCCATGCCATCCCATCCCATCCCATCCCATCCCGTCTCACCTCACTTTGTGTCATCTCATCCCACCAAATCTCACCTCACCTCACCCCACCTCATCCCATCCATTCTCAGCCCTTTCCACTTCACCTCATCCCACCTCATCCCACCTCACCTCATGTCACCTCACCTCAACCCATATCACCTCACCTCACCTCACCACACCTCAGCTCATTGCATCTCACCTGATCTCACCTCATCTCATCTCATCTCTCATCCTCCTCGTGTCCTCTCCAAACTTAGTCACTGCCCTCCTTGGCCAATCCCGTGCAGACAGCTGACATTGTATGAGGCCCGGCACATAATTGATTAAACATTTTGTTTCTCATATACCAACACGGCTGCAACATGCGCTGCAAAACGCGCCTCTGCTGTTGTAGCATCTTGTTTGCCTAAGGAAGGACTGAAGATGTACCACCCATAACAGCTGTTGCATCACTCCTGCCAGCCTACTTCGACGACTGTTTGACTCCTTTTGGCAATGCTACCCCTGCAAAAGTCGTCACCTCATGTTGCCCTCTCCTCCCATCCTCCTCTGCCAGCGCTTCCCCTTTTCCCTTCATCCCTCCCTTATACCCTCTTTCCATCACCTGTGAGGTATGCTCAGCAATGAATGCATTGTCATTTTTAGAATGCGCCATTGCCTTTTTTCTATTATTAGTATCTCAAGACCAACCTACCAATGAGTACATCGCCATTTCCAGCAACATGCGCCATCCTTGCCATTTTCAGCAACATGCACCATCCTTGCCATTTTCAGCAACATGCACCATCCTTGCCATTTTCAGCAATATGCACCATCCTTGCCATTTTCAGCAACATGCACCATCCTTGCCATTTTCAGCAACATGCACCAATTTGCCTCCCTCACAACCTTGTGGGTCCTTCTTATGCTCTTGTGTGTATGCAAAACAGGCAATCTTTTATTTTCTCGTTGCCTCTGTTCCTATTCTCACTTTGCCCTTCTTTCACTTCCGATGGTTCTCCCTCTCGGCCTATGTTCCTCCTGCGCCCTCTTGCTCCCTCCAACCCCCTCTAACCCTCTTCCCCACAACGAGTGGTTGCATATTCAAGATCACCTTTGGCAACAATAAAAGAGCGTTTTCAAGGAGTTGGGTATGATCACATTGCCTCATGATCACATGGCCTCATGATCACATTGCCTCATGATCACATTGCCTCATGATCACATTGCCTCATGATCACATTGCCTCATGATCACATTGCCTCGTCACCTCCATCTCCTTCATTGAATCAACTCATTCCCAAGAACTAAAACATGATATTCTGATTGGACTAAAAAGGTAAAAAATTGGTAGCTTGCTCAACATCTCCTTTCACATCGTCAAAGAGTTCATCAGCTATATTTCTGCACTTCATAAGAGTTCAACACAATGGGATGTTCACGGCTTTTTTCATAAATGATTTTTCCAGCATGTGCTCGGATTGAGGAATTAAGGAGCTATGTGAGGGACTCTTCCGTTGCTACACGGTGCAAGCGGCAAAGACCTGCTTCACCATTTTCTGCTTCTGCACCTTCCATCAGCCGCGGTTTGCCTCTGTCACCATGTGCCACGCTGCCTGTACGCCACCTTCTCCTCCTGCACCTCACCTTCTCCTCCTGCACCCCAACTTCCCCGTTACTCTGGCCATCTCTTCCTTTCCAGTCTTCGTGCTAATATGACCTGAATACCTCGTTTCCTGCCTGTCCTCCCACACCGCAATGTCTGCACTGCACACCTTTATTGGTGTTCGCACTAGCATAAGTGATCTTGCAAAGTTACCTGTTTGGGAAGAATTTGAAGGGTGGGGGAGGATGGGTGAAAGGTGGAGGATAGGGAGGGAGATTTGGGACAGGGTGAGGAGATGGGGAGGGGGATTAAGTACTGGAATTCGCACAGCAGCTGCACACTCTGCTGCACCTAACTGACAGTGATTGGCGTGGGGATGTACCTTGTAAGGAGTATGGACTGATGATAAATCAGCCTTGCTATAAATATGATGTCTTGCTCCTAGTTTGTTGTCGTCTGACATTGTGTTGCTCCTTGTGCATTGTTACTTCGTAAAATTTCTACGCTGATGCAGTTTGAAGATATGGTATTTCAGAGCATGCAACGGATGAAACAAGTTACTGCGAAAAATGGCAAATTAACCTTTCTAAAATCAAGGAGGACAAGGCAGGTATGTGCGAGACGTACTCTGGTTGTACAGACAGACTGTTCTATTTGCCCGTGGTCATCTTGTGTCCTTGAATAAGCTAGTGCACCTTTTTTGTTTACTGGTGGGAATAATTTCCATGTATCTTCAAGATCCACCTATTCTGTGTTGCCCTGTCGTTGCTTATAGAACGTATATTTCTGAACCGCCTTCGCTGTCAGATTGCTCTGTTCAAACTCTCTGCTGTCAGAGACGTTCCCGCCAAATCTGCTCCGTTCCCTTGTCAGTGAACTACGAATTTGAACCACAGGATTTCATCAGCACCTCCCCCCTACCCTTTCCGAAGCCACGCTGTCCTGATTGGCTGGTTGCCCAACTGATTCAATCATCGCCGGATGCGGTTCAGTGAGCTTCCAAAAGGGTAGCTAGTGAATCAATCGTTTTAATCGCTGAGAACCAGAAACAACCGAACCGAACCGTGGTAAGTGCTTTGGAAACGAGTGTGCGGGACGCTTCGGTTCGGATTCAACTTCGGCATCTGAAGAGGTTGGGCTGGGAAGCGACTTGGATTCATTGACGTTCAGGCCTGTTCTATTCACGGTCTACTGCTCGCTGAGTCCTGTCCTTATCATTGTTTGCTCAAGGAATTTAGGTCATCGACTTAGGAACCACGCAGCGTCGTCGTGTGTAGCGTATTGACTATTGCACCGCCTGAACTCGATCGGCTAGACCTGTTGCTCCTAAGTTAAATCACCCGAAGGCGAGTTTTATCTGGTCGTTATCACTCCACGTCAAGCTTCTCGCTTGCGTAATATTTCCGTCTGCATCATCTGTCGATTTTCCGATCCGATCATTCAACTGCTTGCAGCGATAACCGCTTGTTTAAGTTCAGATAATTATTTTAGACCCATTTTGAAGACACAATGGTGATAGAACGTCACAGCTCGTTAGACCCGCCGGGTCCGGATGCCGTCGCGAGAGCGAATTCCAACGTGCAAGTGGTCGTGCGAGTAAGACCCCCGAACGAGCGGGAAAACGATTTAGGCTACCATAAATGCATAACAGTCGATCCCAGCTCCAAACTGCTACATCTCGCGACAAGGCCTCCTTCGAAGCCTTTCTCTTTCGACTATATCGCGGACGAAGACACGCAGCAGGTGACAGCGGCTAACAACTTCCTATTCGTGGTTGTCAATGATTCCTTAAGCATCAGATTATTCAGACTAGTAACTGATTGACCCATGAACTGACGTTCTTTTTGTCTGTCTTCATTTTTTTTCTGTTTGCAGGAGGACATCTTCACGACAATCGGAAAGCCTATCACGGATGCATGTTTGGAAGGTTACCACTGCTGCCTTCTTGCGTATGGTACGGGAACAACTAGATTTTTGTAATTTCAGAATCATTCGCTCTAAAATTATTTGCTGATATCACCACGCGATGCTATTGATTCGCAGGGCAAACTGGAGCCGGCAAGACCTTTACGATGGAGGGTAAGGAGGACGTTGCGTATCATTTCGACATATCTAATGCTTCATAATTCTCAGATTACGGAAAACTCTAATGTTTTGTTCTTCTTTGACATTCGCAGGACCGGATTGGGACAGCGAAGGGGAAGGATCCCAGCGAAGCGTGGACAAGCGCGGCCTTATTCCACGGATTCTCCAGTACATCTTCCAGAGACTGTCAGCTGACAAGGTATGACCCTTTCTGCCTTTCATTCTTACGGCGGAAGCAAATATGATGCTGGTTTTTCCATGCTTTTTGTCTACGTACTACTTGACGTCATTCAATCTTACATAACTTCTGTTGTCTGTGCATGCAGGAGCTGCAGATGCTCGAGTTCACCATCCGCTGCTCCTACCTGCAGATTTACAATGAGCAGGTGTCCGACCTCCTCGAGCCAGATTCGGTGAACCTGAGTAAGGCCTTACTGCTCTACCATGAAACTAGATTCACGCTCAGTCAATCATGCATTAAACTGGAAACGTCTACTCATACGTATTTTCGTGTTGACGCGTAATTATGCTAACCTTTGTTGATTTCGTGCATCCGTCCATTTTCGTGCGCTGTCATGCATCAGCGTCATACATCAGCTGTCACGCATCAGCGTCATAAATCAGCTGTCACGCGTTAGCGTCATACATCTGTTTTCATGTGTCAGATGCCATACATCTGTTTGGATGCACCTGATATCATTCATCCGTTCTTATGCGTGTGGTGTGGCAGATGTGAGGGAGGACATGAGGCACGGGATGTTCGTGGAGGGCCTGCAGGAGGTGGTGGTGTCCACCGCCGACGCCACCTATGCTCTGTTCAAGCGCGGCTCGCAGAACAGACGCGTGGGCCAGACCGCCATGAACATGGAGAGCAGCCGCTCTCACAGCGTGTTCACGATCGTGGTGGAAACTCAGGTGCAGTACCGGCTTTTTGCTTTAGATGAATATGCGAAGTCTGAAATCTGCTCCTCAAAATTTGATGATCACACTCACTTCTGCCGTTTTTTCTCCTTCCATGACGCCACCAGTTTTTGTGCTTCCTGAACTTTCCTTCCTGTGGGTCTTGTTGGGCTGCAGCGGAGGGACGACGCAGGGGTGATGAAGAGGAGGACCTCACGGTTCAATCTGGTGGACCTAGCGGGGTCGGAGAGACAGAAGCACAGCGAGGCGCAGGGGGTGCGGCTAAAGGAAGCCGGAAGCATTAACAAGTCACTTTCTGCGTTGGGAAATGTCATCAAGGTGAGTATTTTGAGTGGCAGTTTTGCCAAGGATTCGAGTGGCAGATTTTGCTATGTTGTTGTGAACTTCGGAGACTGACATTGTGTGATTCTCTGCAGGCCTTGGTTGACATCGCAGAGGGGAAGGTTCGCCACGTGCCCTATCGAGACTCGAAACTCACCTTTCTTCTAAGTGTAAGAAGCATTGAGCTTGACATTGTCCGTTGAATGAAATACAGCATTTTGCTTCACCCTTGAGATACTTTTTATTGGTGAGTTCTGATTCTGTTTTTTATTCTTCTGCTTTTCAGGACTCCCTGGGTGGCAACTCCAAGTGCACGCTGCTGGCGGCTGTAAGTCCTGCAGAGCGCAACGTGGATGAAACGATGTCGACGCTCAAGTTTGCGCAGCGGGCGAAGCTGATGCACAACGAGGCTGTAGTGAACGAGCTGATGATGGGCAACCCCGCCGTCATGGGCGAGGAAATCCGTCGATTGCGCCTCGAGATCGCCGAGCTTAGAGGTGAGTTCTGTGAGGGAGAGAGAGGGAAGGAAATGGGTTCTGGATGTTATGTGGAGATAGTGATTTTTGGATTAGCTTGGAATGTGTATTGACTTCTTACTGGATTCTGACGGTGTGAGGAGACTGACCCCCGGTTTCTCTTGTTGTGTGCGTTTGCAGCCAATGCGTCAGCTGGAGTGCCTGGGCAGCCACTGCTCCCTCCCAGCCCTTCTCCTGCGCCGATGTCAGGTAGAGTTCAGCAAACAAAATGTCTTAGTAGCGTCCGCCCTGATGCCTGGGGTCTTGTTTGTCTGGCTGTGAATCTTTCTGATGGTCTCCTCTCGTCATGCTTTCATAATTCAAGTGTTCCCAACCACGCTCCTGTGTGTATCCGCTCGTGCCTCTCTCCACCACCCCCCACCGCAGAGAATGAGCGCATCTGCCGCTTGGAGCAAATCATCTCCCAGTCCACAAAGCGAGCGCTGGAGGCAGAGAGGCAGGCAGGGCAGGAGGTGGCGAAGCAGAGCAAGAGAGCTGATGCTGCTGAGGCTCTGGCGGAAGGGCTTGTGAGGAGTGTGCAGGTGAGAATGATTGCTGGATTGAATGATTGAAGTGAGAAGGTGAGCAGCTGCCTTCGGCTGGTGCTGTAATGTTTTGGCTGGTTTTCTCCGTCCTGTTTGTTCAGCGCAAGGTGTGAGTGAGGTACTGTGGCCCTGGTGAAGTGCGCGTGAAAAATGTGCATGCAGGTGCATGGCCACCTGGCATATTTTCATTAGTCTCCATTCTCCCAGTGGACCACGTGGGGTTACTGCGTGCTGCAGCTTTCTGTGCCTGACAATTGTGTGTCATTGGCTTGACTGGCATGACTGGCATGATTGGCTTGGTTGGCATGACTGGCATGGCTGTCTTGATTGGCATGATCGGTGCTGTGTGGTGCTGTACGGTGCCACAGGGGCTGAAGATGGTGGTGAAGCTGCGGGACGATAGGATCAAGCGGGTGGAGGCGCAGGGGAGGTGCGAGGGGCAGTGTGTGCGGGGGGAGGACGCGGCAGCAGTGGAGGAGCTGGCGCAGGAGGTGGAGGTGCTGCGGCGCATGGTGGAGAGGAACCCCGATGCCATCCGCTTCCAGCTGGAGGTTGACGTCTGCAAAGGTACGTAGTGTGAGGTAAGGTGTCTGGATTCAGTCATGCGAAAAGCCTTCTTGGCTGATTGTATGGGGCGTTCATTAGGCACCTTCGAAAACAAATTTATATGCATGGAAGCAATCAGGGGACTCGGCCTGAGGTTGTAAGCATTCGTGTAGGCATAAGACTACTCTGTCAGTATGACAACATGGTCCTTCGCTTCTCTTCCATTTGCCATTTATGTTACCATGGTCAGGTGGAACACGCTGACTGAAACACTCACTCTCTTCCCGATATCATCCATATTGCCCATTCCCAATGCAATGCCTCCCTCCCTCTATGCCCCCTTTGCAGCGAGGATCAGCGAGTTGGAGGAGCAGCTGCAGACGGGTACGAGCGAGGGGGACAAGGTGGCGGCACTGGAGCGCCTCAACAACGCGCTGAGAGAGGAGCTCAAGGAGGCGTTCGACGAGAACGAGGCGCTGCGGAGCAAGGAGGAGGAGGGGTGGCGGGAGCGGGAGGAGCTCCGAGCCAAGCTCGTTGGCATGGAGGAGCATGTGAGTGGGGAGGAGGGTGGAGGGATATGATCGGGCAGGAGGGTGGGGAGGGATGTGAGTGGGGAGGGATGTGGGTGGGAGGAGGGGGAGGCATGTGAGTGGGGAGATGACTGTGCATGCAGTTCGTTTCGTTGGTCTCACGCGTCTCTCTTTTCTGTGAGCTGACACTTGCAAACTACTTGCTAGCATGGCATGGCGGTTGTGGCAGAGCAGAACCAGCAGTTAGTGCACATCATGTGGCTCCACGCTGAATTCCACCTGCCTGACTGACTCTTGCTTGTTGCACGCTGTGACTGACTGACTGGCGTGGCATGGCAGGTGAAGAAGGTGGCAACAGTGGCGGAGCAGTACCGCATGGAGGTGAACAACAGGTGGCTCTATGGTGAATGCCGCTTGGCTGACTGGCATTTGCTTCTCCCACACTGTGACTGGCATGGCAGGTGAAGAAGGTGGCAGTGGTGGCAGAGCAGTACCGCATGGAGGTGAACAACACACGGCAGCTTCAGCGCAGCGTCAACGACCGCAAGCACGAGTTTGATGATGTGAGTGGCAATCTGATGACGCGAGTGCAGGTTCTGTGATGTGAGCATCACCGTCCCTTCAACATCTGATCTTCATTGATGTTATGACAATCTACATCCACTTCACTGCTTCCCTTGCTGGTGATCATAACAACATCACTGTACTCTTTCAAACTTTCAATTAAACATAATCTCGATTGTTTCAAATCACTCCACTGCGTTCCTCTCTGCAATCCTCGCTGTAACGCATCCATCTGCATCGCTGCCTCTCTGTGTTCCCAGGCGCGCGTCCGGTGTGGAGTGGCGGAAGCGAAGGTGGGCAAGCTGCTGCAGCAGCTGGCGGCCACCCAGCAGGCGGAATCAGTGCTCAAGGTGGAGGCCGCAGAGCACCACGCTCAGAGCGCCGCCCTCGCTCGGGACCTGCAGGCGTGCCGGGCCGAGCTGGCGAGGAGTGTGGCCGAGAGCGAGAGGAGTGTGGCTGACGCAGCACAGCTGCGGGCTGATTTGGAAGCAGTGCGGAGGCAGGTGGAGGGGTTGTTGGAGGAGAAGGCGAAGGCTGAGGGAGAGGCGACAGAGGCAGCAGCTGCTGGGAAGGAGAAGGAGAGGGTGGCGGAAGAGCAGAGGAAGGCGTTAGAAGAGGCACTGGAGGAGATGAGGAGAGCGCAGGTGGAGGCGGAAGATGCTGGGAGAGAGAAGGTTCGGGAGCTTGAACAACAGAAGAGAGTGTTGGAGGAGGGACTAGAGGGAATGAAGCGAAAGCTGGTGGAGATGGAGGATGTTGGGAAGGAGAAGGAGGGCGCGTTAGAAGAGCAGAAGAGCGCGCTGGAAGAGGAGCTTGAGGGTATTAAGAGAAAGCAGCAGGAGATGGAAGATGCTGCGAGGGAGAATGTGAAGGAGCTCGAAGAGCAGAAGAGGGTGTTGCAGGAGGAGCTGGAGGGGATGAAGGGGAAGCAGGCGGAGCTGGAGGAGAAGGTGCAAGCGCTGGAGAAAGAGAGGGAGCTGCTGTGGGCTGCAGCAGAGAAGAGCGGGGCGGACGGTGATGCTGACGGCGCTGATGGTGCTGTTGGTTCAGATGCTGCAAAGAAGCGGTCGGAGCTGGGCGAGAGGATAGCGAAGCTGGAGGAGGAGCTGAAGACGGAGAGGGGTCGGGTGATTGACCTGGCGGAGAAGGTGGGCGACCGGGACGGGCTGCTGGAGGCTGCTTGCGAGAGGCAGAGGCGGGCAGAGGAGGTGGCGGAGAGGGCGAGGAGGGAGGCGGAGGAGTTCGCTGCTGGGGGGCGCAAGCTGCAGCAGGTGAACCTGGCGCTGGAGGAGCAGCTGTGCTCGGCGCTGCAGGGTCTCCAGGAGGCGAAGGAACGGGTGGAGCGGTTGGAGCAGGAGAGAGTGGGTCTGCTGGAGGAGGCTATGATGCTGGAGCAGGAAACGGAAGAGCAGCGGCAGAAAGAGGAGGCGGAGGAGGAGCGGGAGGAGCAGCAGGAGAGGCGTGAGGGAGGAGGCAGCGGAAGCAAGAGAAGGTGGCAGGAGACTGTTAAGGGTGATGAGGAAGCAGTGGAGGCAGGAGGGGAGGAGGAGAAGGAGGAGGGCGTTCTCAGCCCGATGACTCTGTGCCTCACAGAGCTCCGTGACGTCACCAACAGGGCCAGCCCGTCACGAGCAGCAGATAAAGGCAGCAAGGCAGCAGATGCAGCAGGGAAGGATGCTGATGCACGCGCAGGAGCCGCTGGTTCTGGCCCTAGCCCAATTCGCCTCGGCACAGCAGCAGACATGTCCGCGCTACCTGCCTCTGCTTCTACCAACGCGTTCCTCGCAAACAGGTGGACTCTGCCCTTTGCCGGAGACAACGTTTCTGCCAGCGTAGACTCTGACAGCGACCTGCACAGATATGCAGTTACTGGGGCGGCGGGAGGGCTCACAGGGGGGGAAGGGGGCACGCAGGGCGCACTGGGGCGACGGCTGGAGAAGAAAAAGCGGCGGAGGAGCGCGCCAGTGAGCCAAGCAGAGGCGCAGGCGGAGAAGCTGAGGCTGATGGAGGTGCAGGTGCGGCACATGGTGAAGCAGCTCGCCGCCGCGCACGCCCAGGTGAAGAGCCTGTCCGGTAGGATGCAGAAGGCGGGGCCCCCGATGGTGCGGATGCGGGAGGTGGTTCAGCAGCTGCGGGCTAAAGGGCAGGCGCTGGAGCTGGCGCTGCTGCATACGCTGGAGAGGGAGGCGGAGAGGGAGCAGGCGGAGGAGGATGAGAAGGAGGAGGTTGGGTTGATGTATCTGCAGCTCGAGAAGCAGAGGGATAGGTTGAGGAAAGAGAGGAATGAGTATTTGAAGGAGCTGATGGTGGTGGGGCCGAGGAACGCGGTGCTTTGTGAGGAGTTGAGTGCGGTGAAAGCGAGGCTGGAAGCGGCTAGGGAGGAGATGGGTGAGATGGAGGAGGAGCGGGCGAGGCTGCGGAACAAGTTGGCTAGGCTGAGTCGTAGGCTGGAGCAGCTGGTAACGGGGAGAACGGCAGCTGGTGGACCCCTTGAGAGTCCATTTAGGGTAGAGCATGCAGTTAACGTGGAGGTTGCTGCTGACGTGGAGGATGCGGATGAGGAGCTCATGGCTGACGTGGACGAAGCGCTGGCCGTTGTGAGGGAGCATGTGGAGGAGGTGGAGAGCAGGAACAGGCAGCTAGCGGAGCATGTGAGGGCGCTGGAGCAGCAGTGCGAGAGGCTGCAGGCTAAGGCTGAGGGGTTGGGCAGCAGCAAGACGAGGGCGGTGAGGGCTGTGAATAAGAGCGAAAACGAGGAGCTACAGGGTGGTGTGTTGGGAGTGAAGGCTAAGAGCGGGCCACAGCAGGTGGATGGACAGCAGGAGTGTGAGAAGAAGGGCGATGGGCACAAGGGGGAGGCGCAGCAGGGGCAGGAGCAGCAGCGGCTGGCTGGGCAAGTGCAGGAGCTGTTGGCTCGTCTGGCTGCTGCAGAGGAGCAGACAAAGGGCACCATGGGCCGCGCTGCTCTGGCGGAGCAACGGTGCAGCGAGATGCATGCTCGCGTTGCTGCTGTGGTAGCCCGGGAGAGAGCGCTGCAGAAGCTGCTGGTGAGCCCTCTGCTGAGGGATGCCGGGGCTGGGGATAGAGGAGTTGGATGGTCTAGGGTTGGAGACGCAGGGGTTGTGAGTAGAGGGGTGATGGGAGCAGGAGGCGGGGATGAGATTGTGGAAGGGTGGAAGGCGAGATGGCGGCAGCTGGAGCAGGAGCAGGGAGAGCTGGGCTTAAACCTGAACCAGAACGGGGTAGAGGACCAGGAAGGCAAGGGAGAACAAGAGCATGCGGAGCAGGGATGTGGGCAGGGAGGGGTGGAATGCGATGCAGAGGCTGGTAACATGGGTGCGGATGTGGGGCACGAGCAGAGGCGCATGCAGGTGGAGGAGGTGCGGGGGGTGTTGGCTCAGGTGGTGCTGGTGGAGAGTCTGTTGGCCGTGGTGCTGTGCCGGGCTGGGCTTGCTGGTCTCTCCTCCCGCATGGAAACCAAGCTGCTGGGATCAAATTTGGGGTCAGGAGAGATGGTGGGGGCAGGAGGGATAGAAGGGGAAGGTGGTTCGCTGGGCGCGGAAGGATCAGGTGCTGGTGCAGGTGAAGGAGAGGTCGAGCCAGCGGGGGTGGATGAAAGGGGGAAGGAAGGAGTGAGCGGGTCAGAGAAGGAGGAGGGGACAGGGCAAGAAGGGGGAGGAGGGGAAGGAAGGGCAGCAGAGCAAGGAGTGGGAAGAGAGCAAGTGGAGGAGGTGCTGAACGCGCTGCAGAGGCAGAGGGTGCTGCTTCTTGGTTTCTTGGGCGTGAAGGCAGAGAAAAGCAGCAAGCCAGAGCAGAATGAGCAAGAGAGGAATCTGGCAAACGAGGAGGCGGAACGAGCTATAGCGAGTCCCAGTGAGGGTCTGACCCTTCCGCCTGCGGCCGTGGTATCCAGGCAAGTCAGAATCGTACAGCAGCTGGTGCGAGCAGGATTCGACGCCCTCATGGCCAACGACGACACCTGCTGGCTGCGAGGGTCCGTTTTGAGAGGCGTGTATGCCCTGAGGAAGCTGGTGGAGGAGGTGGAGGGCAAGGTGGGCGTGTGGGAGGCGCAATGGGGCGAGCTAGAACGGGCCTTCCAGCAGCAGAACCGGGAGTTTTTGGAAGTGGGGCGGGCGCTGCAGCGCGTGCAGGGGGAGAAGCGGGCAGTGGAGGGGGCAGTGAGGGAGAGGGCGGAGGAGGAGGCGGGGCGGCGGGAGGTGGTTGAGAGGACTGTGCGTGTGGCAGCTGAGGCAGTGGAGGTGGAGAAGGAAATTGATGAGAAGCGGCAGCAGGTGGCAGTGGCTGCAGTGGGGAATGCTGCTGCGTGCTCTGGGCAAGGAAGCGAGGTGAGCAGGCGTTTGGAGAAGGAGGTGGAATGGCTGCAGCAGGTGAAGGACGCGAAGGAGAGGGAGGTGGTGTTGCTGATGAAGCGCGTGACGGAGATGGAGGTGCGGGGCAGAGGGCAGTGGGAGCAGGCAGTGCAGCGGCAGGAGGCTGCTATGAAGCAGGTGGAGGGGCTCTCACAGCAGCTGAGGGAGTCGCAGCAGCAGCTGGGTGGGAAGAGCAGCGAGGTGGAGAAGCTGGTGTATACGGTGGAGCAGCTTCAAGAAGAGGTCAAGGCCAAGGTGAGACTTCTTGTTGCTTGATGCTCGTTCAGGGCATGGCTGCTTCTCAATGTGGCTGGTCAGGGATGTGAAGTTCTGATTGCCTCTTTCCATACCACTCGTTCAGCCAGCCCCTCGCACCTCAGCACAGCACAGCACAGCACAGCACAGCACAGCACAGCACAGCACAGCACAGCACAGCACAGCACAGCACAGTGCAACACGGCAGACAACTAATGGACTAAACCTGGTCATTGTGTATCTTACTTCTGTCCCATCCCTCCCGCCTTATCCAGGACGCCCAAATCACCTCTCTGCACATGCAACTCCTAGCAGCAACCAAGGCAGTGGCTCTTGACTCCCCACTCAGATCCCGTCCAGCAGCAGCAGCAGCAGCAGCAGCAGCAGCAGAGCGAGGCAACTTCGCCCCTGCAAGCGAGCCCAGGCAGCAGCGGCCATCTGATTCAGCTCACGGGTCGCGGCGGGTGCGGCAGCGGCTGGGCGGCGTGCTATCCGCCATCCACAGCATGGCGGCTACTCGCGATGGCACTCGCAGCCCGTTTGGGTTCAGGGGGGTGGGAGCTGGCAATGAAGGTGCAGCAGCAGCATCTACTGCTGCTGGTGCTGCTGCTCTGTATGCCTCCACGTCAGCTGGGTGCAGTAGGCTGGGTACTGCTGCTTCTGTGAGCTGCGGGACCGGAGGAGGGGAGGGTGAGGAGTTTTACACGCCCATGACCAATTTGCCCTTCAGCCCGGAGAGTGCGGGGTATAGTGGAGATGGGGTGGAGGCGAGTGGAGGGGGGCAGGACGGTGGTGGTGGTGGAAGCGTGAAGGGGAGCAGGGTGAAGGGGCATGGATGGGGTGTGGGGCACGGAGGGGCTGTTGGTGGAAGTGCGAAGAAGCGAGGCTGGGGGAGTGGCGTTGGCAAGTGTGTTGGGAGTGATGAGAACGCGCCCTTGATTCCTGACGGCCCGCAATCAAGTACAGTTCAGTCCATCCCTTTCCCCTTCCATACAGCCTGCCCCCTTCCTCTGCATTCCCAACACCTGTATACCGTATCACTCTTTTTAATCCCGCTCTCTTGTCTCGGCACATGTCAGCACTTCCTGTGTGTTTGTCTCCCATATGTGGCGTCTCAAACTAGTGTATCAGACTGCTCCCGCGTTCTTTCATTCTCAGGTGAAGGGGTCATGGCATCTGCACCCTTGCACACTCCACCTGTTGCTGCGAGTGGAAGCAAGGTGACTGTCAGGACCGCCTTTGAAGCACCGGCACCAATATCTCAGCTCTCCGGGAGATGGCAGCACGACAGGTACTTCCTTCTCCTTCTCCCCCTTGTTCTCACATGCTCCCCTCTCCGCCCTCCCTCTCCCATCAGCTGTTTGCCGAACTATGATCGCTTCAATGATGCATGCATAACCATATGCTTCTAATAGTGTACAATAGGAGGAATATATATCTGAATGCTATTTTGTGTCATGTGCCATGGCTTCTGGAATCTTCCTGTGTCTTTGCTTCCTGGCAGACCACTTTCTGGTGAGGGAACACCAAGGAGCAACCGTCGTGGTCCAGTCCTTAGGTAGCCCAGTTGGTACCATTACTACGTCGTACTCATTCATGGATTAGGTACCGGTATTGAATAACGGCAAATATGATCCAGACCAGATATACACAATCGTGTTTAGATGGCCATGTTGTAGCTGTTCACGAATGTATGTTACAAAAGAGGATCAGTTGTAGGGCAATAGTTTTATTATTGTTAACAGTGGTGACATGTTTGCTCTCCTGTAACTGATTACACAAATGGTAGGCCACCTGACACTTTCTGGGCGTGTCGCAGATGTTCGTGAGTTACCAGACTCAGCCATAATTGCGGAATTTGCCTGTTGAACTGATGTTCACACAGTACTCATATACTAGGTCGTGATCCTTAGGACCGATTCTTCCACCTTCACCACGCTCCCACCCTTCGTCGTCTAAGACTAAGGAGGTATGTTGGGAGATTCCATAATCTTCCACCTTGTCCCTAGTTGAGACATGGTCAGGCTTTACATATTAGCAGGACGCCATGCCAGCAGGCTGTTCTACAGCTGAGACGCATACATGCTTTCTGCAGCGCTCTCCGGTTCGCAAGCTCGCGCTTCAGCCACCCTCGCTGGTATCGTCTCGTTGTCGAACAAACCGAGACATTCAGGCCTCTTGCTCGTTTCACTTCTCAGTCCCAGGTTCCGAGATTTATCGCTTTTCGATGCCACATTTTCGCGGTATTTAGCAAGTCGTAGCAGCAGCAGCAAAAGCTGGTCCGAGCCGCGGCTACTCGTGATGTGTGCGAAGTGGCTACTAAAATCCGAGCCCGAGACGTGGTCATGGGACGATCAGGTGGCGAAGAAAGTAGAGCCGTGGGACGGCGTGCGAAACCACCAAGCGGCGAACAACATGAAAGCCATGAAGACCGGCGACCTCGCCTTCTTTTACCACTCAGGCAAGGCCAGCTAGCTTGACAATTGTCCGGCTTTTGAGGCGCATCAAAAGGCAAGGCAAGTGACCCGACGATCGTCGTGTCTGAGTCAACTTAAAAACCACCAGGCGGCGAACAACATGAAAGCCATGAAGTCCGGCGACCTCACATTCTTTTACCACTCAGGCAAGGCCGCCTTGCAGCGAGCTAGCTCGACCTGACAATTGTCCAGTTAAGGCCAGCGTTTCTAATCTCAGTTTGTATGATTCACCTCGTTCCGTTTCAAATTGAGTGAGTCAGTCAAGGCGAGCTTTGACTATGGTCCAATCTGGACTTCGGCTTTAAGAGGGACGTCTTCGTGGTTCACTCTGTGTAGCATGTCAGTACCACTGACTCAGTAGTACCATTCAGGCAAGAAAAGGAAAGCTGTGAGAATTGTCTGAAACCTTTTCTTGACTTCTGATGCTTCAAGTTGTCTACTACCATGTCAAATTCCATTCCAGCATATCCCCTCATTCACAAAATTAATTCTGTTCGACTGTCACTCATTCAGGCAAGGAGCGTCGAGTCATGGGAATTGTCCAAATCTGCAAGGAGTATTACCCCGATCCCAGCGACAAGTCGGAGAAATTCGGCATGGTGGATGTGGAGACCGTTGAGGCGTTCCCGAGCCCGGTCACGCTGCGTGCTATTAAGGAGGACTCGCGATTGAGGCACATCGCGTTGGTGCGCCAATCTCGGCTATCGGTGATGCCTGTTGACGAAGCGGCTTGGGATATTATCAAGGAGCTCGGGTTTAGAGCGCCGGATTTGGATGAGAATGGAGATAAGGAAGAGAAGGAAGGCAAGGAAGAGGGGAGAGAGGCAGGCAGAGGAGACAAGGGAGAAAAGGGAGAAAAGGGAGGGGGAGAGATTTCTGAAGGGCAAGAATCAGTTCAAGGTGGCAAGAAGGAGTTGGAGCAGTTTGGTCATTCTGAGGGGGGACCCAAGAGAAGACGGAAGAGAAACTAACAATCCATGGCGCCACCAACTTCGTGGGAGGTGCAATATGGATTTGATTTTACCCTTGACTCCAGTGCATCGGGCTGTCCTGATACATTGGCATGTGTGTACGGACATACTTTTGAATAAATGCATGAGTGCATAGATGCATGAATGCATGGATGCATGGGCATGGATGGGCATGTAGGGGAAATGGCCATGTGTGGGCATGTATTGGCATGTATGGGCATGCATGGGCATGTATGGGGCTACACATGGGCACGTATGGGCACGAATGGGCATGTGCGGGCATGTACGGGCATGTATGAGAATGTGTGGTATGTGTGGGCATGTGTGGGCATGTGTGGGCCTGTACAGGCATGTATGCACATGCTTGGTCATGTATGTGCATGTATGGGCATGTATGGGCATGTATGGACATGTATGGGCATGTATGGGCATGTATGGGCATGCATGGGCATGTATGGGCATGCATGGGCATGCATGGGCATGCATGGGCATGCATGGGCATGCATGGGCATGCATGGGCATGCATGGGCATGCATGGGCATGCATGGGCATGCATGGGCATGCATGGGCATGCATGGGCATGCATGGGCATGCATGGGCATGCATGGGCATGCATGGGCATGCATGGGCTTGCATGGGCATGTATGGGCATGTATGGGCATGTATGGGCATACTGTGGAGGAAGCTCGTGAGGAGACCCAGCATCCCCATACGCATAGTACCGGTAGTCTGATTGACACGTCAGCTCTGCCAGCTGTAGCGTTCAGGCACCTAGATTATCTGACTACACTGCTACCCGGTTTTGTCAGGCACCTAGCTTCTCTTGCGTTCTGTGACAACAGTGTCACCTGCTGTTCCCGTGTGCCCACTGCCCACTGCCCAGCCACTCTCTGACCCTGAACCTGTGTGCGAAACAGGGTAGTATCTGTGTCTCTACTCTCAAACAGAGAGACATGGGGCGACGAGACGGCTTTGAGGCGCCTCAGAAGCCATGTTGTTCCTGTGTGAATCCAGGCTCCACTTTCTGCCGCTGGCTGGACCTGTCTTGGATCGGATCGGACCACCAGTGTTTTGAGGCGATGCGACACACTCAAACCGAGAGGCATGAGGAACGCACATGGAGTTTCAGCATCCTCAGGAACGCACAGAGATTTTCAAAATTTCCATGCAACGATAAGCGGTTGACAGCCGTTCTGATCCAATCCGACCTGTGCTAAGCCAATACGTTCTGCATCAGGTCCGTACTGTTGGGCTGAAACGCCCTAGGATCTTTGTAGAGTTAAAGTCTGAGTAGATGTTGTAATAGCGGAAGCGTTGAATAAAGCTCTTGAACCACCTTGCGCTAGTATGTGAGGGCAAAGTAAGTTGATAAAATCAAAGAGATACAAGAATATAAATAGATGAGTACAGAGAATATGAAGAGACATTATAACTAATTTTACTATTGCGGTTCGATACAGTGCGACTCGGCCAACTGCTCAATGTCGAGTCAGTTGTTTGTCCTTGCTGTCGCGCTGCGTCAGGTCTGTTGGGCTGAGAAGGCCCTTAAGGATCTTTGCAGAGGATAACTCTAGGTAAGAAACTTGTAATAGCGGAAGCGTTTAATGAAACTTGTGAACCGACCTTGCACTAGTGTGTGAGAGCAAAGTAGATTGAATTAAACAAGCAAATACAAGGTTTTATATAAGGGTACAGGGAATACGAATAGATAGATAACTGTATTGCTGTTGCGATTCGATACAGTGCGACTCGGGCAACTTCTCTGTAACGAGTCAGTTGTGTGTCCTTAACTGTCGCGCTGTAATTGTCGAGTCAAAGGTCGCTGACCTTTGACTTTCTCGTAGCCTCCAGGCGGTTACCCCAACCTCCGAGGTTTGACTCGATGCTTCGATTCGGACTGCTTCTCTAGTGTCTTGGGTTTTGACACGACAGAAGCGCACTAAGACTTATTGTTTCCAACACTCCCCTTCGCTTCTGGAGTGTCGTCGCAGGTGACGTGGCCTTGTCCAGTCAGCATCATGCAGTATTCGAACTTCTGCTTTCCGAGTTTCTTGGTCAAGTAATCGGCTGCCATCTCAGATGTTGGACAGTATGACAGATCGATTTTCCCCTTTTCGATCTCGTCCTTCACGAAGAAATAGCGCAGGGCGATGTGTTTCGTCCTGTTTGCGAAGCCGTTCTTGTTGGCGATGCGAATTGCTGACTGGTTGTCGCAGAACACGGTGAAGCTGGGTAACTCGGCTAGCTTCGCTTCTTCCAGCAGTTCGCGAAGGTAAAGTCCCTCCTTGGTGGCTGAGCAGAGTGCAATATATTCCGCTTCAGCTGAAGACAGTGCGATTAACTCCTGCTTACTCGACTGCCAGGAGATAGGACCGATAGGTTCGAGGCGGTAGACATAGCCGGTGCGTGAGCGTCTGTTATCGGTGTCGCCGGCGTGATCGGCGTCGACGTAGCCGATTAGCTTGGTCGGTGTAGTTGCGTTTTTGTGATAGGTTAATCCGATCGTCGCGGTGCTGACGAAATAGTGGAGAGCGCGATCGAGTTCCGCCAGATGCTCTGCTTCAGGCTTCTTGAGATAGGTGGCGAGCTGGCTCGCGGAGTAGGATAAGTCGGGACGGCATGTGACTGCTGCGAAGAGAAGACATCCGAGCTTCTTCTGATAGTCGCGTATGCCGGCGGGCTTGAGTAGAGTAGATCGTCCCTTTTCGGTTCCTGACGTGTAGCGGTAAGGCGTGGAGATGGCGCTTGGTGTGAGGTCGAAGCGTTTCGCGATGGTGTCGGCGTACTTCTCGGCGCTTAGATAGATTGCGTTTTCTTCCTCGCGGATGTTGAGCCCGAGGTACTGCGTAACCGTAGAAGAGACCGTGAGCGTGAGGTCTTTCTGAAGCTCCCCTTCGAACCACGTGGCGATGCCGTCGGTTGACCCAATGTAGAGGAGATCGTCCACGTAGACGATTAGGAGAACGTAGTCGCTTCCCTTTGTGAGGCGATACATGCCCTGGTCATGCGGGAGTTGTTTGAAACCGATGCGGATGAGGCGGGCGTGTAGGTACTGCTGCCACAGTCGCGGTGCCTGCTTGATCCCGTAGAGCGATTTAAGCAGTTGACAGACTCGGTTGGGTTCGCCGTGGGAGCCGTGCGGGAGCTCGACGAAGATTTCTGCATCTACAGGTGCGTAGAGAAATGTGTTTGCGACGTCGATTTGTCGCAATTTCTTTTTCTTCATGGCGGCGACGGCGATGAGGATTCGGAGTGAGGTGTGACGGCTGACCGGAGCGAAGGTTTCGGTGTAATCTCTTCCGTGCTCCTGGTCAAAGCCGCGTATGACCCAGCGAGCTTTGAATTTGTCGATGGTGCCGTCGGCTTTCGTCTTCACACGGAAGACCCACTTTCCGGTAAGGATAGTCTTGTTTTGTGCAACGCCGATGGGAACGATTTTCCAGGTGTTGCGCTCCTCCAGTGCCTTCAGTTCTTTGTCCATGGCTTCACGCCATTTCTCCCTGTGTTCCCCCCCCAGAGCCTGTTGAACCGTCGCAGGCTCCTTAGGAATGGCGGCGCCATGGACTGCGGTGACGAGACCAAGGATTTGCAGCCCAGTCTGTGAGTATCGAGGGAGTTCTGGATCCTCGGGATAAGCTGCTTCGTCTCCCGCTTCTGGGTCGGGTATGAAATTTGGCCCTACCCTTTCTGCTTCGTTGGTGTTGACTGTCGCAGGTGTTACGTAACCATTGTCGGCGAAATGGTAGAAGACTTCGGCGTTGTTACTGTCGCGAGGGTTATCCTCATCCATGGGCACGTTGACGGAGCAGTACGGAAGAGGTCCGGCTTCCTCCGATGCGTTGTCGACGTTCTGCTCATCCCAGTCTGCTTCATCCGCTGCTGACGCGAAGGCTCGGTCACCACGAAAACCACTGGTGAGGTCCTGATTCTCGTGCAAGTTGGCGAGGTACGTCTGAAGGGTGAGGCGTTCGTAGAAGATCACATCTCGTGCTGCTACTGTTTCTTTTGTGTGGACGTCGAAGATTCTCCACGCGTTGTAATTTTTCTCGATGCCGAGGTGTAGTCCCCACTGTGCCCGTTGCGAAAATCTTCCCGCTCGTGCTTCTGGGGGTCTGTACTGTACCATGCACCCGAAGACTCGTAACATTTTTGTGCTGCCCTGCTTCCCTGTCCACAGCAGATGCGGTGATGCGTTGTTCGGGAGTGACGACGACGACAACAAGTTGTGCAGCATGACAACATGGTCCATTGCTGCTGGCCACTGGTGGTTGGGTAGCCGCATGCCACGTAACAGTTTGCGCATGCTGTTCTGCAGAGTCCTGTTCATTCGTTCTGCGACACCTTGCTGCTGATGTGCGTAGGGAAGGGAGAGGAGTTGCTTGATCCCCCTTTCCGCCAGGAACTGCTTGAAGCGCTGAGAGGTGTACTCGCCACCTCCGTCTGACTGGAAGCTTTTCAGTTGCGTTCCAGACTCTCTCTCTGCTATCAGTAGCCAGGCGGCAAATGCTGCGAGTGCCAAGTCGCGGCTGGGTAGGTTACGATGCCAGACATATCGAGTGGCGGCGTCGATGAAGGTGATGGTGTAGTTGTAGTTAACTTGTCCTGGTTCGCGATTGTAGAGGATGTCGCTGTAGTACTTTTCGAGTGGTGCGTACGCTGGAGCGCTCGGGTTGTGATGTGGAGCGAACGGTCGATGAGGTAAGTCAGCTTCGGGACATATAAGGCAAGTCCCTCGTGCCTTCTGGAGTTCTCTGCCATCAAGTAGAAGTAGGGAGTCTTTGTCAAGAACTCCTGCTCTTATCGTGTTATTTAAAACCGTGTTGCTTGGATGTCCTGTGCGTGCGTGCCAAATCTCTTCAGAGGCGCGGTGTCCGGGTGAACGTTGGTATGCGTCGGAGTTGGAGTAAAAACTGGCGACGAAGTTGGCGCTTCGGTGGACTTCACGTTGAGTCGGATTCAGCTGTTGCGCGGGTGTTGGTGGTGCTTCGTCGACTGTGACCGGTGTCGTTGTTCCTGCTGCTGCTGATGTTGTCTCTGCTGCCGATGTTGTTGCTGCTGCTGATGTTGTTGCTGCTGCCAATGTTGTTGCTCCTGCCGATGTTGTCTCTGCTTCTGATGTTTGTTGAATCGTCGCTAACGCTCTTGTTCGTTCTGCTTCAGGGATAGTGTGGGAGTACCAGAAACCTTCCGGGCTGAAGTCGGGGTCGAGATCAGCAGGGTGTGTCCAATCAGTAAAATTCACGATGGCGTCGCTGTCTGCAGTGCCCAGGTCAGGAACGAAGTCGAGGACGAAGACGTTGTTCTTCAGCACTGCCTTCCCGATGTAGAGACCGCCTTTCCCGTGGTATAGCTTGAACTCCTGGATGGTGCTGTCGGCTTCCAGGTGAATCCCCTTCGCCATCAGCTGGCTAACACTCAGTAAGTTGTAACCGAGTCCTTCAGCAATGAGTACCTTATACATGTGCAGTATGACATTTGTTTCTCTTGACTGAAGCTGTACCACTCCTTGTCGTCGTGTGCGCAGGTTTTGATTATTGGCGACCGTGATGATCACTTCTCGTTGGAGTCGATGTTCGCGTTGTACGAAGCGCCCGGACGAGCACATGTGTTGCCCGCAGCAACTATCCAAGAACCAAGTGTCTTGGCCGGACGGTTCACTTTGAGCGATGGCGGCGTAAGTCGGATTCGGGTGGAGTGATTCGCGGCGAGGCGTCCTGTTCTCGAGCTCCTCTTCTGGTGAGTAATGGGGTGGTGACTCTGTTGTGCAAGAGTCGTTTATCTTTACCATGCAGTTGACTATGTTTCTTGCTCCTTGTGCAGGTTGTCCAGTTGAAGTCGTTGAAGCTTGAATCGTTGTTGTCGGACTTGCTTGCGTTGAAGCAACTTGTGAGCTTGAAGGCCGCAGTTGTCGCTGTGGTGTTGTCTGACGAGACGGGCAATGCGTGCGGGGGTGTCCTGATGTTTTGCACATGTGACAAAACGGAGGTACTAACTTCGGCTGCTGCTGTCGGTTGTTGTAGTTCTTGTGTCGTCGCTGAGTGTGGAAAGCGAACTCCGGTGCTAATGCCCTTTTCTTGTGCCTTTCTTCTTGCAGGTCCATATCCTGCTGCTCGGCGTGGATTTCGGCACAGAGTGCCGCTTCGGAGATCCTCCCGTGTGCTCGAAGAATTGCTTTGGTGGCGCGCCACTGAGGACCGAGGCCACCGATGACGACTGTTACGAAGGCGTCTTCAGAGATTGATCCTCCGCATCGAAGAAGCTTGTCGCGCAATTCGCGACATCGGCTGATATACGCCAACCCCTTTTCTCCTGGTTTCATTTCAACTGTTGTCAACTGCGCCATTAACCTGCTCTGGTTTACACTGTCTGTTGCCTGATACAGGTTCTTCAGATGGCCGTACGCAAGTTCCGCCGAGTTGCCGAAGTTCCGGTAAGAGCGAATGTTCTGCTGCTGGGTTGGTGTGATGTTTCTCAGTAGAATAGTATACGCCATCATCGATTGATACGTATACTGCTGCTTCTCATACTGTGTGCCGTTTGCTGGATACTGCAGGGATCCGTCGAAGAAGCCGAGTATCTGCGCGCCCTCCATCATCAGCTCGAATTCAAAGGACCAGGTGAAGAAGTCCTTTCCGTCGAAAGGTCTTAACGTTTGTAATTTCAAAACATGCGCGAATTGCGACTGAACTTGTAACGCGTCCATTGGTTTGTCTTGCGCAGGTGAAGGTTGAGGCAGGAAGCTGATCGACCCGCGCTCGTACGGGGCGAAGGTGGGTTGCTGCTGTTGATTCCCTCGCGCATATGACGACCCATCAAGGCTCATGGGTGTCGCTCCGTTGTTGCTGTTGTGTGTCAGTGCAGGTCCCGACTGCTGGTGTTGCTTGTAGAAGGACATGAAGGAGAAGAATTTCTCCATCATGCTCTGGTCGAAGTCAGAAGGGTGATTCGTGGGGGTCTCGGTTGACGTTCCCCTTGGTCTTGCTGCCGTGCCTTCCTCTGTCTGCAGGCCAGAGGCTGGTGGTGGAGTAGGAGTAGTGCCCGAGGAGCCATTAGGGGAGCTCCTTTCCTTGTTTGTTGCCATGTCTTGTAATATAAAAAGTTTAGAGTTTCCCCTGTCAGCTCTCATACCATGTTGGGCTGAGAAGGCCCTTAAGGATCTTTGCAGAGGATAACTCTGGGTAAGAAACTTGTAATAGCGGAAGCGTTTAATGAAACTTGTGAACCGGCCTTGCACTAGTGTGTGAGAGCAAAGTAGATTGAATTAAACAAGCAAATACAAGGTTTTATATAAGGGTACAGGGAATACGAATAGATAGATAACTGTATTGCTGTTGCGATTCGATACAGTGCGACTCGGGCAACTTCTCTGTAACGAGTCAGTTGTGTGTCCTTAACTGTCGCGCTGTAATTGTCGAGTCAAAGGTCGCTGACCTTTGACTTTCTCGTAGCCTCCAGGCGGTTACCCCAACCTCCGAGGTTTGACTCGATGCTTCGATTCGGACTGCTTCGCTAGTGTCTTGGGTTTTGACACGACAGAAGCGCACTAAGACTTATTGTTTCCAACAAGGTCAAAGGTCGCTGCCCTTTGACTTTCCCGTAACCTCCGACGGTTACGTTAACCTCGTTGGTTGACTCGCGCTGCTTCGACTTGAGCTGCTTCGTTTTGTGTCTTGAGTACTGACACGACAAAGGCGCTTAACTTATTTGTTGCCAACACGTACATCGGGAAAGAAAATAATGCTGATGACAATCTCACAATCCTCACGATTCCGATCGGGATCGAATGAGCTCGAGATGAAATTTTCTCACTGGCAAGTCATCCCCCAACCTTCTGCAACCAACTTGGAAGGCAGGAGTATTTATCCGTCGAAGTGACTTAATTTCTTTAGGCTGTGCAGTATTCTTCTGGAAATGTCCATACACCGAAACAGCAATAGCGCGAACTCGCTTGTAGAGTAAAAAGGGTGTCCATTGTCGAAATATGCCGTTGCGTGCAGTCGTAATTATGTCCTTACTAAGCTGTCGTGTTGCGGTATCTGCCATCGTCTTGCGGCTGGTGCCGTTGACATTGCGGTTGATAGCTCGTCAACGTGCAGCCTTCGTGGGCATGTCGTCGTTTTGTGGGCGCCTTACGGGTGGCAAGCTAGCTGGTGTTCAGTGCCATGCAATGCAGTAGTACGTCTCGCACCCACAGTCTAATATATCATTTTTATCTAATGGCCTCTGGTTAAAGCGGGCCGCGATTGTCCTACGCGTCACTGAGATGGGCGACGAATGGCTTCCTCCCGCACGTACGCCGATTCTAGGCCGCTCGCGACCGCCCTCACAAACAGGCACTTCGAAATTATGTTATCTCGAACTTCAATGTTTCTTAGTGGTATTCCGCGGCTGATGAATACGAAGCTTTTTGAAGAGGTATTCTCGCGAAGTCCGCAACTTTCAGTGGTTTCTGCCGTAACCCAGTGATTCGTCGGCATTTCAGTGGTTCAGTGGTTCAGCCGAAACCCTAGCCGACGGGGCATTTGAGATCAGCATGGAGCGCCGCGCCGCGTTGACTCTAATCTGCCGCCTGCTGCTCTGTAAGCCCTTCAAATCTTGAGCGAACTGCTGCTGGGTTTCAATCTCGCCATATCGTGACTTTCACCGCGACTGGTGTTTACACTTTTCCATCAGATAACAGAGGCAGATCCGACAGAGCGTTGAATATTCGTGCCCCACTTCGCGTCTCTAAACGTGCTGCGTGCCTGTCTGCGTGCCTGCCTTGCCTACCTGCCTGACTCCTTTGCAGGTGCGACGGTCTGCACTGCCTACGGCGCGTCGGCCACATCGCTGCTCCCGCAGCTCCTCCCTCACCTCGCCGGCTCTTCTGCCGCTTCTGCCGCGTCGGCCGCGTCTGCATCTCAAGCCAGGCCCCTGATAATTAAGGGAAGGACAATCAGTAAGTGTAGAATCAATAGAATTGAAGCATTGCCACAACTTAAAGTAACAACTCCCCTTACTGCCTATAACGCCTCGCTACCCACTGGATCTAAACGAGGGTGTTATGTAGGCGCAGCGGATGCGTTACAATGCAGGCGGCCCAGCTTTTGTGTGCGCAGAATTGACGTGCACATACATTGCAAAGATTCGAAACCTCGTTTGGAGCTACCGTATAACTGAAACATATCATCGTGATCACTTCTGCATGAAACTGAGCAGGTTGTTGATAGATGTTTGCTGCAGCTGAATTGTTGATGTTTGTGTTGATGGGTGTCCTCATGTGCGTGCTAATTTCTGTGATGATGTGTATGCTGATGTGTGTGCTGATGTGTGTGCTGATGTGTGTGTTTATGTGTGTGCTAAATCATGTACTTCCCTGATTTTTTATACCTTTGGCATTCCCGTTTATTATGAGCATGTCAGCTCAAAATCATTAACATTTTTTCTTCTTCCCAATCCTTCCAATTCGCGTTGCTAGTGAAATACGTGGCCACTCTGCGTCCTACCAGGATCAACGGGAAATTAGTCGGTGACGCATGAGCTTCGGGGAAATTCATGATCAAGGCAGTGAGGTACGCCTCTGTCCCCTCCTTCACTTGTGCCACTGGCGGCGCTGATACGAGTGCTGAGGAGTCACAATGACATTTGCGAGTGTTGCGAGCAGTTTCCCATCCCTCTATTTTAGACGTTCGCACAAACAACCACCGCGTGCACTTCAGCAGCCTTGCACCAAATCCAAGCCGGTACTTTCAGCGGAAGCATTCATGGCAGTACTCACTAATGAGTGTCTCCGTCTTTGGCAGGTACTCTGCATCGTCGTACAGCATCGTCTCTAGAATTCTTCTTTGGAACCTCAAGGGAGGAGATTACCCCAACGCCGGCTTTGCGACTTCCTGCTCCGTGGGAGCTCCCGCACCAACGGTCACTTATCTGAACCTCACAAGGGACAAAGAACACCCCAAGCGTTACAGCTTTGTATATCGTTACGAGTGGATCGAAGATTCAGTGGTCAAAGCGTGCAAGGCTATGGCTACGGCGGGAATACGATCACGCTTTATTGTAGGGCATGAAGCTAACAACTTCGCACTCTGTGGTAAGGTTTTGAGAACAGTGTAATAAGAAGATGCAGTTGCATAGCTACAGTGGAGTGATTGTTGCACAGTGGAGATGCATGTGTATGCGGGCATGTTATGGCCTTGTCCATGTCATGTGCGCATCTCTAGATAGCACATACAATGCTGCATTGCCTCTTCAAATCCTGCGGCCCAAATTGCAAGCCATGCACTCCAAGTTTTTAAAACCTGTCGCTCTGGTTACTGGGTTTAGTGAGGCTGAAGGTCTGCAACAAAACCTGCGGAGCAGAGCAGAGGCGCGTACTAATGAGAAAAGAAGCCGCCTCCAAGAGCTCTCCCCCTTTGCAGTGAGAGAGAGCCCCTAGCCCCTAAAGCGAATACCAAAACCCAGTGTCATACAGTACATTCCCCCACTGTCACCTGGTAACTACTTGATCACCTAACTTGTTAAGGTGAATTCTTGCCTAACAACTCTAGCCCTTGATGGTGGGGAGAGCAAGCCTTAGAAGGTGTGCACTGATGGATGGAGTCTTGGTACCACTCATTGCTCGATGGTTTAATACCTAAAAATAAGCACTATATTGAAGGTAATACACAGAGCTGACTGCTATACATAGTAACTTACATCACAAAGCCCTTCGAGAATCGAGAATATGCCTCGATGCTCAGTTGACCTCCAGTCATCCCTGGTTCAGAGGTTGAACCAGCAGCATGACTGAATGTCAACTGAGGACCGAGCCACGTTCAGGTAACTTGAAGAATTACACCTTGGTGTAAGTGGGAATCAGGACTTTATCCACGCCGTGGGCGATGAAGTACGGCCCAGCGTACAGCCTCACGAGCTTGATCGTCGTCCACGCGGCAGGGGGGGCGTTGGGGGTCTTCGCGAAGGAAACCGTGTTACCATTCTGCACCGAAACCTTGTACATCGCCTGCTTCAGCTGCGTCCCCAGCGGCTGCGATTTCTTGAGCGCCGTGAGCGCGGGAACCGTGTACTTCTTGCGGATGATGTGGTACGCGGTGATGTTATAGATTTTGGGGATGTTGGCGTTGTTAGCGGGGACCTTTTTAGCGAGGGCCTGGGCCTCGGTGTCGCTGGGGAGTAGGAGGGTTGCGTCGCTGAGAGCTGTGAAATCGTACTTGGAGTTCACTGGAGGTGGAAAGAGAGGGGTGGGGGGCAGCGGGAGACGGAGAGGGAAAGACGAGAATCTGAGCGCGAATCCGAATACCATCTATAGGGGCTAGTAGTAAGGAGAGTATAACTGATGGGTGTCGGGATATGCGGATCGTTTCTAGCTACAAAGCGAAGAGAGGAGCGTGATATTTTGTATGCAGTCGCGCTAGTAAACGATTCCAAATGAGGTACTTGTGTTCGCGGCTTTGTGAACGAGAATGGGGCGAGGCGAACCGTGGTAACGAGGAAAATTATTTATGTCACGATTTGGAGTCCTTACGTGCTAGGCCGATGTACTTGTTAATGTCCTTGGCGTATTTAGAGTATTGCGGGTACTTCTTGGTGATGGCGTTCGCCATGTTCTGCAGCTCGGCTTTTATTTGCGCCTTGGTGGGCTTCGCTTGTGAATGCGCGGTGGCGAAGCATAGCACGATGCAGAGCAGGCCGACGAGAGGAATGAACCGTGAGCTGGCCATTTTTTTTGCGAATATGTGCACGATTGTCGCTAAGAAATTGTTGGGTGGGGGAGAGCTGTGGAAAACGAGAAGCGTCTGGCTGGCTGGACTGCTGGATTGAAGAGTAGTGGAAGCACGAATGTATTGGATGAAGGATTGGATGCACGAAACACCATTTATATATTGGACAGAGCTGGCTGGGGGCGCGTCAACATTGACCGACATGCGGTGCGGGAAGCGGTGGAGTGCTTTCGCGACACAGCATTTCGTAGCAAGCGATATTCGACAACTCGTAACTCAATGGCAGCATGTTATTCTGCAGAGACGAGCTGTCGCGAACGCACACGAAACATGCTGGCCAGGGGTTACTTGAAGTTTAGCGGTGGCGGCGATTGGTCGCGGCCCGCGTCAATGACATTCATTGTCATTCCCCCCGCACTTGACCTCCAGCAGCCTCGCCAAGGCTCACGCTGTGGTTTCGGTACAGACAGGCAGCAGGAACAGACAAACGAGAACCGAACATTTTTATGTCCCTGTTATTACGGTGCTTCTCTCACCTCGGTGCCTTTACACTCTCTCAATTTGGTTACAGAGAGTATATGAAAATCAATAGCGTTTTATCTGTTCAGCGGAGTTTTATCTAAATGCTTTGGAAGCAGAATAACTTCACCAGGCACGAGGAGGGGTTAGAATCGTTGCGAAATTTCAGGATTCATTTGAATTACGGTATGAATAGTAAATTTATACAGGCATGCAAACTAACAAGTGTTTGACATGGGCTAATTGAGCATAATCTCTTATATTGAACACATATAGCGCTTCTAGTCCACCAGTCTCCATAAAAAGTGTTCGAAGTAACATCTTTTGGTTCTGGTTGCCATAACTCGGCTGTCGAAGAATCTTCACGAAAGAAAGCGATGCTTCGCGCAGCTTTTAACTTTGCCCCTGTGAGAGCCTTCAGAGTTCCCAGCGAAGCTTGTTGAATGTCCCTCTGCCTTCGCTGAAAGGGATCCTGCTTGTGGAATTCAGCAGGTCGCCCTGCGAAACAGTTACGGCGACAGTCACCCCCTCACCACGCCAGTTTCCAATTAACGACGCGTGGCGTTCAAGTCGCAACCACCACACTATCGCCGTTGACGTGACGTGAATGCAACGAATGACTTTCGCCATACGCTGCTGGCAGAATCCATGCCAGCGACACAGTCGAACCAGACCAGTGGCCTTGCCGAGGCAGACCAAACCGCTATCATGGTGCAGACTGCGGAGAAACCGAGGTCATCGAACCTGAAACCTGCCTCAGTCCGAACCGTTCACGTGGTAAGGTGGTTGTCCGTACTTGGTTGCTTGTTGTTGTTTCCAGACCGGGTTGCTTGTTCAAGTGTCCAAACCTCGCAGCTTCTTGGAGTTTCCGAACGCGTTTCCCAGTAATCTGGGCTTTCCCCCTCGCTCCACCCCACACCGTCACTCACTGCAAATCTCGCCCTTTCCCTACCTCCGACCAGGCTTTCATGCCGAACCGTCTCCCGAACCGATTCCCCCTCATCCCACCATCTTCGTTCTGGCACAATCTTCTACCTAAATCAAAACTTCGTCCTTACTCAATCAACCCTAAGTAGAATATATAGTTCTCGGTTCTTCATTTCTCAGCAGTTCAGCTTTGCGTGCAGTTTCGAGTTCATCTACCAGCTTTCCCTCATCCAGCTGTATTATCTTTCTAATAGGCTCAGTCTCGTCAGGCACCATGCAGATCTTCGTCAAGACTCTCACCGGCAAGACCATCACCCTTGAGGTGGAGAGCAGTGATACCATCGACAACGTTAAGGCTAAGATTCAGGATAAGGAGGGTATCCCTCCTGACCAGCAGCGTCTGATTTTCGCCGGCAAGCAGCTCGAGGACGGGCGCACTCTTGCTGACTACAACATTCAGAAGGAGTCTACGCTTCACTTGGTGCTCCGCCTTCGTGGTGGTATGCAGATCTTCGTTAAGACCCTCACCGGAAAGACCATCACGCTTGAAGTCGAAAGCAGCGACACTATCGACAACGTGAAAGCCAAGATTCAGGATAAGGAGGGTATTCCTCCTGACCAGCAGCGCCTGATTTTCGCCGGCAAGCAGCTCGAGGACGGGAGAACCCTGGCCGACTACAACATCCAGAAGGAGTCGACGCTGCATCTGGTGCTCCGTCTCCGCGGTGGGATGCAAATTTTCGTCAAGACCCTCACCGGCAAGACTATTACGTTGGAGGTGGAGAGCAGCGACACCATCGATAACGTAAAGGCTAAGATTCAGGACAAGGAGGGTATCCCTCCCGACCAACAGCGTCTGATTTTCGCCGGCAAGCAGCTGGAAGATGGGCGTACCCTTGCTGACTACAACATACAGAAGGAGTCTACTCTGCATCTGGTGCTCCGACTTCGTGGTGGCATGCAAATCTTCGTTAAGACCCTCACCGGCAAGACTATCACGTTGGAGGTTGAGAGCAGCGACACCATTGATAACGTAAAGGCGAAGATTCAGGACAAGGAGGGTATTCCTCCTGACCAGCAGCGCCTGATTTTCGCTGGCAAGCAGCTCGAGGACGGGAGAACCTTGGCCGACTACAACATCCAGAAAGAGTCGACGCTGCATCTGGTTCTCCGTCTCCGCGGTGGTATGCAGATCTTTGTTAAGACTCTCACTGGGAAGACCATCACCCTTGAGGTGGAGAGCAGCGATACCATTGACAACGTGAAGGCGAAAATCCAGGACAAGGAGGGCATTCCCCCTGACCAGCAGCGTTTGATCTTCGCCGGTAAGCAGCTGGAGGATGGACGTACTCTCGCGGATTACAACATTCAGAAGGAGTCCACTCTTCACCTTGTCCTCCGCCTTCGTGGTGGACAGTAGGCCTGTGTTTAGTTGGCATTGAGTATCCAGCTGGTGGCCTACTGTAAATTGGATTGAAGCATGATTAGCAATGACATCAGCAGCCTATTTTGTTCATACAAAGAAATCACCCACAAACAGAAACATTTGCACAGCCACAACAAAGCAAGGACTACACTACACTACGGTACTGTATGCACAGCACAATAACTAGCTCAATAACCATCCTTCAGTTACTTTGGCCAGTGCAGTGTTAAGCTGTGCTTACAGTGCAACTTCAGAAGCAGACAGTCTTTAGGAGCAAACAGTGCCAGAGCAAGGGCCATGAATAATGTACATCATTATCACAGAAATGCTTCTTGGGCATCTGATGTTCACCATTGCCTGCGAAGTAGTCGACGCATTATGCGCCTTCGTGTATGTTCTGACCGTACAGCAACAGCAAACAACTGTGGGACCATAGCAGAGAGGCCTAAAAGGAGTACAAGAGGCAACAGAAAGTGCAGATGCGGCAGCGGCATCTGCAGTCGTGAAAGTGAGACGAGATGAGATGCCATATGTGTGGTGGGGTGGTATGGCGTGAGTGAAACTGGAAGAGGAAGTGGAGGAGGTGTGGGAGGTGGAGGGAAAGTGAAGGTGAAGGGCGGTTGCAAGCGGTGGGGAATCTTGTGGAGGGTGTCTGGGAGGAGAGCGAGGAAAGAGATGAAGAGTGCTGTCCATGAGTTGACCACCTCCTGCATGCATCCATTTCATTGGAGGAGGCATAGGGGAGGAAAGAAGGCAAGGCAAAGGTAAGGGATAGTACAGGCAGGCAGGCACGAAGTGATGAAGAGTGCTGTCCATGAGTTCACAACCTCCTGCATTTCATTCATTTCATTGGAGGAGGCACAGGGAAAGAAAGAGAGGGAGGGCAAATGTAAGGGACATGCCTAATAGGCATGAAGTGAAAGCACGTGCCAAGCAAGGCAGTGACGCAACTTGTGGCAGAAAGTGCTGCTGTAGTGGTGTGAATCAGGAACCATGCACCAGGTCAAGTAGACTTCTGAGTCGACTCAAAAGTCACCTCTGTAGTGGTGTGAATCGGGAAACATGCACTGTGTCAAGTCCTTTCAAAAAGAGCATGGTAACTACTCTATGGGTACCTGAAACTTATCAGTTGTGATCGGGTTGAAGAGGGGGAAGCAGTCGGAGGTGGGAAAACTCTCATCTCCAAATGTCTGGTGATTAACCGAGGAAATGGAGGCGGCGATGTGGTTAGAAGCGAAGGGATGGGTGAAGGGATGGGTGATGGGATGGGTGAAGGGATGGGTGAAGGGATGGGTGAAGGGATGTGATGTGGCCGAAGGCCCAAGTGCAGTCAGGGTGTGTGCGTGTGGGGGGATGGGGGATGGGGGATGGAGTGGAGTCAGCGCACGTGGAGCGATGGATTAAAGTTAGAGAAAATAAGCAAGACGCGGAACAAGGTGAATGGAAGAAGGAGGTGCAGGCTCTGTAGCAGGGCACTGTAGACTGCGATAGGGAAAGAGAGAATGAGACAACGCAAGGGTGCTCTCACCTCAAACGTGAAGGCAAGTGGCACTCGCAGCACATCGTACATCCAGTCAGTGGCCGTGCCGTGGGCAAAGTACCTACAGGGGGGGATGGGGGGTGTGGGGGAAGGAGGAAACAGCATTTTAAAACCTTGCTGACAACAGTCGGAGCACATCGTACATTCAGTCAGTGGCTGTGCAGTGCCACGGGCAAAGTACCTACAGGGGGGGATGGGGAGTATGGGGGAAGGAGGAAACAGCATTTTAAAACCTTGCTGGCAACAGTCGGAGCACATCGTACATTCAGTCAGTGGCTGTGCTGTGCCACGGGCAAAGTACCTACAAGGGGGGATAGGGGGTGTGGGGGAAGGAGGAAACAGCATTTTAAAACCTTGCTGACAACAGTCGGAGCACATCGTACATTCAGTCAGTGACTGTGCTGTGCCACGGGCAAAGTATCTACAGGGCTTTTGAGGCGCCTCAAAAGACGGGCAATGTACCTGTGGAAGAGGGAGAATGGAGGGATGGGCGTGGCAAAGGGAGTGCGGTTGTTTAGAAAGTTTTTTAAATGAAATGGTTGGGTGGGGAGCAGTTTCAAGCACTACGCACATCGTACGTCCAGCAAGTGGCTGTGTGCTATGTGCAAAGCAACTGCAAGGGAGGAAGGCTGACGAGGGGAAGGTGTGGGAGAGAAGGGGTGGGAGAGAAGGTGTAGAGGGTGTGAGCGAGCACTGAGTACATTTTAATGCCACGCTGACAACACTCGGAGCACGTCGTTCATCCCATCAGCAGGAACACCAAGAGAAGATTCCCTTCAGCACCGCAGTCAACCTCACAGCACCACGTGCAACCTTGCGGAACTCACCCCACAAAGCCCCCACCAGAGCCGATGACACAGCGAGCACCACAGTGAGCTGCATCGAGGCGCTCCAAGAGAGACTGGCGAAGGAGTGAGGGGAGAGAAGAGGGGGAAGGGGTGCGGCATGAACGTGATATGGTGTCACAGCGAGCACCACAGTGTGCCGAATGCATCCAGACGCTCCAAGAGGGACTGGCGAGGGGAGAGAACTAGGAGGGGGGAAGGAATGCACTTGGAAGCTGTAAGGCTGTGATTCCAGTCACAGAATGTCAAAGAATGACAGAGCGAGCAGCACAGTGAGATGCATCCAGGCGCTTCAAGAGGGAGTGGCGAAGGGAGAGAGAGAGGAGCCACGCTTCTCATGGCATTGGCATGAGCGAGGGGCATGAGATGTATGTGGCATGGCAATTCAGCGAGCAATGCAGCGAGCACTGCAGAGCGGATGTGAATCAGACGTGATTGGAACGACGACAGGAATCAGGGCAAGGAAATTGACCATGATTTGTGTGCCTCCCCCTCCTCTCCTCCTTCCCACGTGTGCAGCCGGCATGCACACCGTTCCCCCAAACAAAAACACACACTCCCTTCCTCTCTCTCCCTCCCCCTTCTAACATGCAAGGCAGCGAGCGTTTTCTCATCCCATCCACCGTTGTCTCATCCCATCCACCGTTGTCTCATCCCATCCACCGTTTTCTCATCCCATCCACCGTTTTCTCATCCCATCCACCGTTATCTCACCCCATCCACCATTTTCTCATCCCATCCACCGTTTTCTCATCCCATCCACCGTTTTCTCATCCCGTCCACCGTTTTCTCATCCCATCCACCGTTCTCTCATCCCATCCACCGTTTTCTCATTCCATCCACCGTTTTCTCATCCCGTCCACCGTTTTCGCATCCCGTCCACCGTTTTCTCATCCCATCCACCGTTTTCTCATCCCATCCACCGTTGTCTCATCCCATCCACCGTTTTCTCATCCCATCCACCGTTTTCTCATCCCATCCACCGTTTTCTCATCCCATCCACCGTTTTCTCATCCCATCCACCGTTTTCTCATCCCGTCCACCGTTTTCTCATCCCATCCACCGTTTTCTCATCCCATCCACCGTTTTCTCATCCCATCCACCGTTTTCTCATCCCATCCACCGTTTTCTCATCCCATCCACCGTTTTCTCATCCCATCCACCGTTTTCTGCATCTCCCTGGCGAGCCAGAGGAGTGAGAAGCGCTTCCATGCCCGAATGCACGCTCACCGCTCGTGCAACTGGCCAGACACCCTTACCTTCCTCTCATTGCCCTCTCAACCCCTCCTGCCCTCCCTTCCTCTGTTCCTCCTTCCCCCCCAACTTCCTCTCATGCATGGAAGCGAGTGTGCTCCCATCAACACCATCCCTCCCCCCATCCCAGGGGAGTGAAAAGAGCGTCCATGCCTGAATGCACATTCACCCACACCTTCACCCACACGTTCACCCACACGTTCACCCACAAGTTCGCCCACACGTTCGCCCACACATTCGCCCACACGTGCACACTACTTCTCCCTCCCTGCATTCTCCACTCACATGCATGGCAGCGAGCGTGCTCCCATCCACGCCATCCCCGCGGTGGTCCAGGGGAGTGAAAAGAGCCTCCATTCCCGAATGCACGTTCACCCACACGTGTGGGCGGAACCACACTGCCAGCTGTCGCATCGCGTCTGCCTCTGGCTCGCTGAACGCGTGCGTGCCAGGAGCCTCCTCCAGAGGGTTGTAGTCCTGAGGGTGGGGGCGAGAGAGCAAGAGAGAGCAAGAGAGAGCAAGAGAGAGCAAGAGAGGGCAAGAGAGAGCAAGAGAGAGCAAGAGAGAGCAAGAGAGAGCAAGAGAGAGCAAGAGAGAGCAAGAGAGAGCAAGAGAGAGCAAGAGAGCAAGGCAGGAGAAGGAGAGTGTGTGTGTGTGTGAGTGGCGAGCTTGGTTCACCACACCACATGTGCAGGCCCGGCCACACTGGCAGCTGCCTCATTGCCTGCCTCTGCCTCGCTGCACGCGTGGGTGCCAGGAGATTCCTCTAGCGGGTTGTAGTCCTGGGGGGGCGAGAGAGCGAGAGAGCAAGAGAGCAAGGCAGGAGAGAGGGGTTGTGCGAGCCAGGAGCTTCCTCTAAAGGGTTGTAGTCGTGGGGAATCAAAGAGGGAGTGAGGGGGATGAGGGAGAGTGAGACTACTGATGGATTCCAATCAGCCACACCGCCAGTTGCCTCATTGCCTCTGCCTCTGGCTCGCTGAATGCGTGCGTTCCAGGAGCTTCCTCTAAAGGGTTGCAGTCCTGAGAACCAGAGAGGGGAGAGGGGGCGAGAGCAAGAGAGCACGTCAGGAGAGAGGGGCTGTGTGTGAATGGCGAGAGGGGCTGTGTGTAAACCCACACCCACACCCACACCCACACCCACACCCACACCCACACCCACACCCACACCCACACCCACACCCACACCCACACCCACACCCACACCACACGTGTGGCCGGAGCCACACTGCAAGCTGCCGGATCGCCTCTGCATCTGGCTCGCTGAATGCGTGCGTGCCAGAGGCCTTCTCTAACGGGTTGTAGTCCTGGTGGGCCAGATGATTAGGGGTCAGGGAGTGAGGGGGAATGAGGGAGAGGAGTGAGACAACTGATGGGTTACAATCAGCCACACTGCCAGCTTCCCACTGGCTCGCTGAACGGGTGGGTGCCAGGAGCCTCCTCGAGTGGATTGTTGTAGTCCTGGTGGGTGATGCGGATCAGTATGGAAGGTGTGGTGCGGTGCGGCATGGTATGGTGCAGCATGGTGCGGTGTGGCATGGTATGGAATCCTACCGTTTCTTTCACGCCCCAGTCGCAGTCCCAATTCCTGTTGATGTCCACACCACGACCTGCCAAGGGGGATGGGCATGGGTCATGGGCCATGGGAGAAGGGCCACGGGTGATGAGCGATAGGGAGGGGCGAGTGAACAGCAGGAGGTCTGAGTCAATGTGCGCAGCTCTTGAGAGAGAGAGAGTCGCAGCTCTTGAGTGAGAGAGAGTCGCAGCGCAGTCGATGTGCTCACTCAAGAGCTGCGACTCTCGTGGCTCAAGTATGCCAGAAGAACAAGCCACGCAAGAACAGTCCAAGTATGTCACGTAATCTGTTGGATGTTAAGAAAGGCAAACAAAATCAACCATTCCACATCATGTGATCCGGATTTACGTGATTGCTAATCAAGCGATTGGAATTCACGTGATGAGATTTGATGAGCACAATTCACTTCATTGGGATTCATGCGATCATGATTCACTCTTCAAAATTCACGCAACCGTGGAGTGGAGTGCCACATCCAGTCGTGGAGTGGAGTGCCGCATCCAGTTCCACTCCACAGTTCCACTCCACAGTTCCACTCCACAGTTCATGCGTATGAAGATTTGTTTTGAGACGTCTCAAAACAAATCTTCAACCGTGGAGTGCCGCATCCAGTTCCACAGTTCATGTAATCCCCAATTTGAAATTAAGGCGCCTCCAATTTTGGGGATTCACATATTTGTGGAGTGCCCCAAATCCAGTTCCATGATTCGTGTGATCCCGTACGTACGCGACAGTCCCAATTCCTGCTGGGGTTGCCACATCTTCTGCGTTGGAGCACATGTGTGCTCCATGCTGCAACCCCGCTCTTCGTTACAATAGAACTCTCCTTCCCGTTACCTCTCTCCTTGCTGTTACATCCCCACTCACCGTTTCGTCGTTCACAAAGCTCTCCTGCTTCCACCTTCTTGCGCCCGTTCACATTCTCCATGGGCACCACCTGCCAGCAACAGGCAACAGAGCAGAGCACGCACAAAAAAAACCATTCTTCAAGCGCCTGAGGCGCCTCAAAATGGGCACCACCTGCGAGCAACAGAGCAGAGCACGCACAAAGAAAACCATTCTTCAAGCGCCTGAGGCGCCTCAAAATTGGCACCACCTGCGAGCAACAGGCATAATCCGATCCGATTGCAGGCAATCGAGCAGGCAACAGAGCAGAGCACGCACAAAGAAAACGCTCTCCATTCTTCAAGCGCCTCACAGCTCGCCCGCCTCCACCATTTTCCTCCCATTCACATTCTCCATGGGCACCACCTGCCAGTCATGCCAGTCATGCCAGTCATGCCAGTCATGCCAGTCATGCCAGTCATGCCAGTCATGCCAGTCATGCCAGTCATGCCAGTCATGCCAATCATGCCAGTCATGCCAATCATGCCAGTCATGCCAGTCATGCCAGTCATGCCAGTCATGCCAGTCATGCCAGTCATGCCAATCATGCCAGTCATGCCAGTCATGCCAGTCATGCCAGTCATGCCAATTATGCCAGTCATGCCAATCATGCCAATCATGCCAGTCATGCCAGTCATGCCAGTCATGCCAGTCATGCCAATCATGCCAGTCATGCCAGTCATGCCAGTCATGCCAATCATGCCAGTCATGCCAGTCATGCCAGTCATGCCAGTCATGCCAGTCATGCCAGTCATGCCAGTCATGCCAGTCATGCCAGTCATGCCAGTCATGCCAGTCATGCCAGTCATGCCAATCATGCCAGTCATGCCAATCATGCCAATCATGCCAGTCATGCCAGTCATGCCAGTCATGCCAGTCATGCCAATCATGCCAGTCATGCCAGTCATGCCAGTCATGCCAGTCATGCCAGTCATGCCAATCATGCCAGTCATGCCAATCATGCCAATCATGCCAGTCATGCCAGTCATGCCAGTCATGCCAGTCATGCCAGTCATGCCAGTCATGCCAGTCATGCCAGTCATGCCAGTCATGCCAGTCATGCCAGTCATGCCAATCATGCCAATCATGCCAGTCATGCCAGTCATGCCAGTCATGCCCGTCATGCCAGTCATGCCAGTCATGCCCGTCATGCCAGTCATGCCAGTCATGCCCGTCATGCCAGTCATGCCCGTCATGCCAGTCATGCCCAAGAGCCATAGGATACGATATTCTGTACTCAGTCGTCGTCGACTCACAGGTCAACTCACCGTGATAACCAGGTGTGGCCAGATCAGAGCCAGTTGCTCCCACCTTATTCCACCCTCAGACCCCTCCTTCCCTCCCCCCTCCCTCCCCCCCTCCCCCTTCTCCTCCTCCACTTCCTCACTCTTCTCCTCTTCCCCTTCACCCTTCCCTTCCTTCTCTTCTCCCTCCGTAACTTCCTCCCCTCCTCCCGAATCGTCGTTTCTCCCCGGCCCTCCCTTCTCCACCACCTCTCTCTCCCCCACGAGAACCCTGAGAAGGTTAAAGCCCAGCTCGGTAGTGATGGCTTCCCTTCCGTGCTGCCCAAACACCTTGACCCTTGAGAGCAGGGGGTGGGAGGGGAGGGAAAGGGTAAGGGGAAGGGGAAAGAGCAGTGGTAGTGAGCGGCGAGTGAATGGGCAAATTAACACCTCCCTCTACCCCACGAGGGCCCTGAGAAGGTTAAAGCCCAACTCAGTGGTGATGGCTTCTCGTCCGTGTTGCCCAAACACCATGACCCTTGAGAGCAGGGGGTGGGAGTGGGTGGGAGGGGGAAGGGCAGTGGGAAGAGGCAGGGTAGTGAGACACGAGTGAGTGAACAGAAATACCTCCTCCTTTCTTCGTCACTTCCCTCTCCGCCACCCCCCTTTCCCCAACGAGAAACCCGAGGGGAGGGGGTGGGGGCAGGGGGAAGAGGCAGGGATACTACTGAGGCAGGGACAGTGAAGCAGGGACAGACGAAAATACCCCTTCTTGCATTGTGCATTTCCCTCTCTCAACCACCTCATTCTCCCTCTCCCCACGAGGACCTTGAGCAGGTTTAAGCCCAGCTCAGAAGTGATCGCTTCTCTCCCATGCCGCCCAAACACCTTGAGCCTTGAGGACCACCCAGAACAGCACAATACTGTATGACTCATGAGAATTCTCAAAAGCCTCGAGGACCACCCAGGACAGGACAATACTGTATGACTCATGGGCGAGTCGGAAGCAAGAACCTACCTGCAGCACACACCCACACATAGGCTGGGCTTACAAGGAGAATCCGCAGCTTTCCCGACAGTTCGGCAGGGAGAACTGTAAAGAGCCCCTCCACTCAAGGTGTATGAAGGAGGCAGAAGGAGGAACCAACATACCTGCAGCAAACACGAGCTGTCGCCTGTACTTACAAGGAGGATGCGCAGCTTCCCAGAGAGCTCGGTAGGGAGAACCGTGGAAAGCCCCTCCACGCTGTCTGCACTGCTGCATGATGACGCGTTGCTGCCACCCCCCAGCCTCTTGAAGTATCGCGCGTCGCCACCGAAACCACTGAACACGCCCTCGTCTGCTGCTGCACCTTCCCCCGCTTCTCTCACCCCCGCCACCACATCACCGTTTGCAGTCGCCACGTCACTCTTTGCACTAGCCACGACACCCATTGCAAAAGCTACATCCCTGTCTGCTGCAGCCGAACCACCAGGCACATCTGTCCTCTTGGTCCCTGCATCAGAAGCTGATCGCACAAAAGACTCCTCGATAGCAGCACCTCTAGAAAAATCACCTTGCATTCCACTAGCATCAGCAGCTGCAGCAGCTGCAGCCGTAGCAGCAGCAGCAGCAGAAGCAGCAAGCGGTATCGACAGATCATGCTTCAGAGAGGCGGCAGGAAGTGGAGACGGCCTGCCAGGCTGAATGCTGCTCAGGTCTCGCCTGAGTGAGGAAGTTCTGAGCGCATCTGAGTGGAGAGCGGTTGTGAGGTTTGTAAGACCGCGCTCCCTGCTTACCGTACCCTCCCCACCTTCCCTTCCCTCACCAGGATTGCTCCCCTGGCTTCTTTCACTCCTCTCACTCCTCTCACTGCTGATGACTACACTGCTTCTGGAGCTAATGAGTCGTCTGCGAGTGCTGCTGCTCGCCCCATCCTTCCTCCCCATCCAGTGTTTCCGTTCCAACCCTTCTGCGGTCTCATACCGTCCGTCCAAGCCCCCTCCACCACTTTCCAAGCCTGAACTGGAAGTTCGGGCCGAGCCGGCATCCGAGGCTAGAGGTCTGTCAGTTTGGGACCGTGGCAGTGGGATGCGAGCACAGTGCAGCGTGACCGCAGTGAGGGTTGACTTGTACCCGCCAGAAGACTGAATCGTTATCTCGTTAAGCTGCATTGGTTGGATGCCATTGCAGGAAAGCATACGGCAGGGAAAGGAAACAGAAGCATCCAATTGACGTCGCATCGTCCTGACTGAGACACAACTGACTCGAACTGAATCGACACATGCTCCTGCCTGTTCAAACCACTGCCTTGAGCCAGGAAGAGTTGCTCGTGTCCCCATCGATGCAAAGACAAGGGCACAGCTCACCTCTGCAGCGTGGGGATGCCGGGCTGCAAGCGCGTGAATCTCGCGCAGCAATTCATCACTGCGTGGGACAGGAAAACCCGGTGAGCATAGGCAGGGGAGAATTCCGGGTAAGTAATATTTCTAAATGACACAAATAAACTTGGGGGGAAGAGAGGTTGCAGCCGCGGAAGGGAGAGAAGGCAAGGGAAAAGACCTCTGGGGTAAATGTATGCTGGGCCTAGAATAACACTTGATACAGCCGAAATAGTGGCTGCCAGAGCGAGGAATTGAACCTGTAACGAGGATCTCAACTTGGGACGTGGGTTCGAACCTGGAGTGGTAGAGGGTGAAATTGAACAGTGTGATCTTCGGTGGCTTGGTGGAAGCCCACGTGCACGGGTGTACCCTGACTAACTCGACTCAATATACTATCGGATTCGAACCTGGAGTGGTAGAGGGTGAAGTTGAAGGGTGTGATCTTCGGTGGTTTGTCTCGCGTCTGACCCGTCGCATTAGGCGACTCTTGCGTCTCGGTAGTTTGTGAAGCGGAGTGAGCAGCACCGAGCAGAAATAGAAGAGCGATAAAGGCCTGGAGATGCGGGGAATACGAAGCGGATTCAGAGGGATGGGTTGACGACGGCTTGTAAGGCCACTATCTGCGTCGGTCGTAGGACAGAAAGACACATGTGCTGCTAAGACGAGTTTCGCGTGCATTCTGTACGAGTTTCTGCGTACAATACCTTAGTGGTACAGCGGTGAAGGCGACGAAGGCGGAATGAATCATGGTGTAGACGCTGTAACGATCCAGTGGACCACATGAGGCCGCGCATTGCGGACAAGAACTTCTCGATCGCTCCTGGATTAGAACCTACTGTGCCGTCTACTTTCGTTCAGCGAATTTGCATGTCACGTGTCGCTTTGCTGCCATGGTTTTCGCCATTTATATTACGAGATGTTGGCTTTCTCCGCTAAGGAATGGTGGCTTTACGTGCAGATGCATTCAGGATCAACCATGGGTGTTCGTTCCTGAAGCAGTCTGGTAGTGTGACTTCACAAGCCAGGAGCGAAGCTATCGCGAGGATTTTGGATCGGGACAAGCATCTGCAAGGCCAGGAACCGCTGTGCAGCATACTAAATTGCACGAAACCTTTTTCAACCGCCGCTATTTCGTCCTAAGTTTCTCTGCTGAGCTGGTTACCACATGTAAGCACCGACGAAGTTACCACCTCGTGTCTGACAAGCGATTTGGAACCCTCGCCTCGCCTTCAACGGTCTGCGCCTTCCCCTCGTCTCGTTCGTGCAACACGAAGTGAAACGTCAACCAGTCGCCACCACGAAGTCCCAGTTGCCTGTTGTATGTTTCGCTGAACGTGGCAGCATGGGTGCTGTCGCCATCGTTGTCGTCCACTAGTTCGCTGAACCCCCATATTGCAAAAATCAGAGCCAAGCAAAAATGGAAAGGAACTTGTGGGCGAGGTGTTACTTCTCGTGAAGAGCACTACACCAGCTCACACCGTGCTAAAAATCAACTCAACAGACTGGACCGCCTAAACCTTCTTACTTGTATTGGTAGGGATACTGTATGCAGGCAAACTTCGAGGTTGACCAATGAACAATCCGAGTTTCCTTTTTGGTTGCTACTACTGTGTAAACAGCACGTACGAAGATCAACTCAACCACCTCCACCAAACACTTTCCCGCCATAATCTAGGTTCTGGTTAGCGATCTACTTTATTAGTTGTCTATCATAAGCGAGCGTAGCTGCTGTGGTCAGTACAGCCCAGTTGCTGACTTTAGTCTTCTCGTTATGCTCCCTCAGACTGTCTTTGCGATGTAGTACTTATATATTCACAGACGAACCAGATAAGAGAATCGAGTTATAGCTACCAGATTAATCCTCTCATGGAGAGGCACGACTGGAGCACCTATGTCACGCAGAAAGGATCGATCAGCATCAAGGTAAATGTTTGACGAAGGTCATCGTAGGTGAAAAGCGCATTGCTCCCTGGTCTGTGCCTTTGCTAAGTCCAGTCGACGCCAGTTTCCAAAGTTCGCGAAGCATGATGATCGACGCTTCAAGCCGTCTGCTTCAGCCCTTTTTTTTTTATCGAGCTACTTCGAACTGCGATAACTATCTTCCCGAGAATGGATATTTCTCGCGTTCTTGTTGTTTGAGCATGCTTTTCTTAGGGATTCTTTTTCGCCCTTCCTGTTTATCTTTTATGCTGCAGAATAAAGTTCGCACGGCTACTGTCACCAGAGGAGCCAGCGAACACATTAGTAACCCGTCGCGACGTGCTGAGGTAGACGTGTCGCCAAAGGATTCCACTCCGCAGTCAGCTGCTGGGGAGGTTCGGTCTCAACCTGAGACGCAGCTTCGAAAAATCCCACGAGAAGCATCGTCAGCTCCAGATCAAGAAAAGAAGCGGCACCAACAACCCCTTCAGCAGCAACAGCAGCAGCAACTAGGAGCCCAGCCGAAGCGGCAGAAACAGGATGAGTCATCTTTAGCATCAAGGCACAGAGACGCTTATTCCAGGGTACGAGATGAATATTTTCGTAGGGTAAAGAAAGAAATGTTGACCTATTTTTTAGGTACGAAGTTCTACACCAGGGTAACAGATTGTGACAAGTGGCATGATCAAAATGAGACTGATTAGCGTAAGGTTTTCGTTGCCTTCCAATTTCCACTAAATTTTCTGCTTTGTCGTCCCTTCCCCTTTCTCCGCGCACTCCCTTCCTCCCCCACCTTCCCTCCCTGCTCCTCACCCGCCGTCTCTGCAATCCCCCTACTCCCTCACCCGCCCTCCTCCTCTCCAGCGCCTGCTCCCCCCGGAGGCGCTCCCCTGGGCGGCACTGGCAGGGGGCGCGGTGGCAGCAGCCGCAATGGCAGCAGCGGGGCTGCGCAACCGTCAAATGCCCCAAGGCCAGCAGCAGCAGATGCATCAGCAGCAGCAGATGCATGCCGGGCCTGGTTACAGCAACCACCGCAACCATAACGCATGCGACGGCGCCCAGCCGCTGCCGTTTCGCCGGGGTTCCGAAGCCTCGTGCTGCACCACTGCTGCTTCGGGTATGCAGAGCGGAGTGGGGAGCGGGGGCGGAAGAGGCGGAAGATGCAGGGGGCATGGGGTCAGGGTGAACAGTCACGGTAGGAGTGGAAGGCCGGGTGGAGGGGGAGGAGGAGGAGGTACAGGAGAAGAGGCAGTAGCAGCAGCAGCAGGAGGAGAAGGAGCAACAGGAGCTGGTGACGCAGGAGGAGGAAGGAAGAAGAATGTAAGCCTCGCATCCCCAGCTGCACGGTCTCCTCGCACCCCCACCGCCACCAGCACCACGGCAAGTGCTCTCGAGCAGGGCATGACACGCCTCTCTCTCGCAGCCGCAGATAAGCAAGCACAAGAGCCCGGAGTCCGATCCGAAGCAGCTGCTTCTGCCCCTGCTGCTGCGGGCAGTGCCGGCGGCACTGGTGCTGAAGGCGCTGGGGCTGGTAGCGGTGGTATCGGTGGTGGTGGTGGTTCCAGTGGTGCTGCTGGTGATGGTGCTATGGCTGCTCCCAACTCGAGTGAAGAAGAGGAGAAGATCGAATCTCCCGCATCTGTGCTCCGTTCCAGGACCAGTGCCGAGGGAGCGGGACCGTCTAGAGACAAGGCAAAGGCCGAGGGAACGGCGCGGTCTAGGGGTAGGACAGATAGGCGAGCCCCCCCCTGCGTTGCTCACAGCCCTCACGGCCCTCACAGCACGGCCGGGAGGAGCAAGACGGATGCGAGCGCTTCCCCCTGCTCGCGGCACTGCAAGCATGGGACTGAGGGCGGGTGTTGTGCGAGGGCGAAGAGAGAGGGGGGGGACGTGGAGGCGAGTGAAGGGGCGGAGTACGAGGAGGGGTCGCGGGACGAGTGGCACCGGGGATACCAGTGGCAGCAGCACGTTGGCGACCGAGAAGGAGAGCGTGAACGAGAAGGCGAGTGCGAAAGAGAACAGGAAAGAGGAGGCGCGAAAGCCGCGACTGACAGCTACCCATCTTATGCGTACAGCAATGCCCTTTTCGAATTGGACAGCTCCCGTGTTGGCGGCTTCCCAGGCTCAGAAACGTTCAGCAAATCCTCGCCGGGTTCACCCTTCCTTGGCGTAACTCCCGAGGCTTCTCCAGGGTTCACCATCCCAGGATCGTCCATCCCAGGATCGTCCATCCCAGGATCGTCCATCCCAGGATCGTCCATCCCAGGATCGTCCGTTCCAGGATCGTCCATCCCTGGGTCATCCATCCCAGCTTCTTCCTTCCCACAGTCGTCGTTCCAGCAGTCGCCTACCCCAAGGCCCACCCCTGGGACTAACGCGTCTCGTCCGCGTTCGTCTGACGGATCCCTCTGCTCGCACCTCTCCCCGCTGCCCTCCCCTGCCGTCGGTAAGCCGCTAGCATCCGCAGGCCTGAGCAGCGCGGAACTGGGCTCGCAGCAGCAGCTGATTCACAGGCCGCTGGGAGCAGCGAGTGCGAGCCGAGCAGAGGTGCTGCGGCTAAGAGGGCAGCTGCGGCGGCGGGACGAGATGATATTCTCGATGCAGGCGCGCATGGGGATGCTGGAGGAGGAGAGGCGGAGGGCGGAGGGGGAGTCTGTGAATGCTGTTGCGGCTGCTGCGGCAGCGAGGGAGGAAGCAGGGGAAGCGAAAGGGCAGCTGCGGGAGAGGGAGGAGGTGATTGTCTCTCTGCAGGCTAGGATGGGGGCGTTGGAGGGGGAGAGGAGGCGGGCGGAGGGGGAGATTTCGAGGGCTGAGGCAGCAGTGGCGGAGGCAGAAGCGGCAGCAGAAGCAGCAAGAGCGGTGGAACGAGCGAGTGCGGAAGCAGCATGTGCGGAGCTGCAGAAGCGCGAGGAGGTGATTGTTTCGTTGCAGGCGAGATTGGTGATGCTGGAAGGGGAGAGGCGGAGATTAGAAGAGGAGGGATCTGCGAGGGCTTGTGGTGCAGGTGCTGCTGTTGCGAGGGCCGAGGCAGCAGCAGCTGCGGAGCTGCAGAAGCGGGAGGAGATTATTGTTTCCCTGCAGGCGAGATTGGTGATGCTGGAAGGGGAGAGGCGGCGAGCAGAAGAGCGGGAGACTGCGAGTGCTGCGGCCGCTGCGGCTGTAAGGGGGGAAGCGGGTGCTGCTGAGATTGAGGCTCTGAAGGGGCGATTGCAGGAGAGTGAGAGGGAAGTGGAGGAGAGTGGGAAGAGGGCGGATGAGAGTGAGAGGAGGGCGGAGAAGAGTGAGAGGAGGGTGGGAGAGAGTGTGAGGAGGGCCGTGATGTGGGAGGAGAGGGCGAAGGAGGCGGTTGCAGCACTGGAAGCGAAGGCCAAGGAACTAGAATCAGCACAGCAGGCACTGGATTTAGCACAGCAGGCACTCTCTGCTGCGTTAGAGGAGCTTGCAGTGGTCCGTGCTGCAGCAGCAGCAGCTGAGGCAAGGTCGGAACGGGTAGAGGAGAAGGCGGCACAGGAGGGCACGGGGAAAGATGGCGCAGCCGTCATTACTCTCGCTGCAAGTGCTGCTGCTGGTGCTGCTGCTGCTGCTGGTGCTGGTGGTGTTGGTGCTGGTGCTGGTGCTGGTGCTGGTGCTGGTGGTGTTGGTGCTGCTTTTGCTGCTGCGACTGCAACTGAAGATTCTGTGCAGCTTACGGAGCGACAGCTGGAGGACATCCGAGCCTTGCTGGCGGATTACCGAACCTTGGAATCCGCCCTGGCGGAGGCTCGGGAGGAGTGCCGGGCGTTGGCGGCAGCTAAGGAGGAGGGGGAGCGGGCGATGGCACAGGCTTTAGCAGAGCATGCGGAGATGGTGGAGGAGGTGGAAAGAATGGAAGTGGAGATTAGGAGATTAAGGGCAGAGGCGAAGGAGAGAAGTGGAGCAGATGGTGTAGCAACAGTTCCTGGCCTGTGGAAAAAAGAAGGGGAGGAGGAGACTGGGGGTGAGATGGTGAGGATGGAAGGGGAATTGAAGAGACTGAGGGAAGAGTGTGGGGCGTTGGTGGCTGCGAAGGAGGAGGGCGAGCGGGCGAGGGTGCAGGCACTAGCAGAGCGTACAGAGATGGCGGAGCAGGTGAAAAGAACGGAGGCAGAAATCAAGAGGCTGAGGGAACGACACTTGGAGGAAGAGGTAAGGGAGGAGGCGAGCGAGCAGGCGAGGGTGCAGGCAGTGACAGAGCATGCAGAGGTGGTGGAGGAGGTGGAAAGATTGAGGGCGGATATTAAGAGACTAGAGGGAGAGGCGAGGGGGAGAAATGGAGCGGATGGAGAGGGCACGTCGATTGTCCCACTGAATGTGGCAGAGCATAGAGAGATGGTGGAAGAGGTGGAAAGAATGAGGGCCGAAATGAAGAAGCTTCAGGCTGAATTGATTATAAGAGAAGCTGAATCGGATAGTGGAAGCGAACAGCGGAGGGGTGGGCAGGAGGAGCAGAGAAGTGAGGGAACGATGTTTGTTGTTGTTGGGAGTGGAGGGGAGCAGATGTGTCGGGGTGGTTTGGACGTGGCAGGTGGGAGGAGGATAGGGGAGGAGGAGACGGAAGGAAAGCAAGCAAGTAATGTGATCGAAGGGGCAGGAGCTGTGGGCATAGCTGCAAGCGCAGCAGCAGGCACAGCAGCACTGGTGACGAATCTGGCAGACACGTTCGATCGAGTTACTGTCAATGAAAAACAGATTGATGAGGCTGCTGCTGCTGAAGCTGGTGCGCCTAGGGGTGGTGGCACTGCTGCTGCTGCTGCTTCTCAACTAGGTACTACTGTTGTGCCTTGCGACACTGGCTATGCTGCAAGTGCTGGTTTCCCTTCACAAGTAGCTGCTGCTACCTTCACGTCAAGGAATAGCTCTGCATCAGACACACCCGTTGTTACTGCTGCGGGTGTAGAGGGCGCGTCAGACGTTGCAGCAGCAGCGGTCCTGGCGAAGCTGGTCGCTGCTGCTGAGCAGGCCCTCTTATTCCAGGGTAATTTGCCCAGAGAAACCCCTGGATTCCCCACTAGTGACATAGTTGAATCTGGATTCATATCTGGAGTTGGGGGAGCAAGGAGCCTTATAGGGAGACAGGAGGAGCAAGGGAGAGTGGGTAAGGGGGTAATGACAGGGTATTTAAGCCATCACTCATCTGATGGCGTGGATGGCGAATTGAGTCCTCTTAAAAGGGTTAGAGAGGAAGACAGTATCGAGTATTTGCTGGAGAACACTGGCTCAAGCATGGGACGGCACAGGGGGCCTGTGGTGAGAGCATTAGGGTTCCACGTGGGCAGCTGCAGCAGCAGTGGTGGTGAAGTGGGGGTTATGAGTGCAGGCGCTTCTAGTGGTGCTGTGGGCACTGTTGCTACTGGTAGTATCACTGCTGGTGGTTCTGCTCCTTCCGCTGCGGCTGCTGCTGGGGTTACTGAGGTGGTCCCTGCTGGGGTGGTCCCTGCTGGGGTGGCCCCTGGTGGTGCTGGTGCGTCTTCTCCCTTGCTCGGCCTGCTGTCTGCCCACGAAGTGGGTCTGCTGAGACAGCATGCCATGCAGCTGAGGGCGAGGGTAGCACTCAGAGGAGGTGCAAGAAGCGAGGGAGAAGCAGAAGGAACAGGTGCAGGAGGAGAAGCAGGAGGCATGGGGCAGTGTGGATCCTGTGTGAGTGGAGAGATGGGTGGTAGCAGTGATGCTGCTGTGGGTGCTACAACCGGTGTTGCTGCAGTAACAGCAGCAGCGGAAGCAGCAGAAGCAGCAGCACCAGCCAAAGCAGCAGAAGCAGCAGAAGCAGCAGCAGCGGCAGCGAGGGAGCAGCAAAGCAGCGAGCTGTTCAGATTCACTGCGGCTAGCAATGCCATCAGTTCTGCCCATCCAGCAACAACAACAACTGGGCCTCAAAGGGACAGGCGCCCTCTTGCTGACCTGTTGTCACCCGGGAGAGAGGGTAGGGTGCTGGGAAGAGGAGGGATGAGGGGCAGCAGAAGTGACGCCAGGGTTCATGACCGGCACCACCAGCACCACCACCAGCATCAGCGACATTACCACCACCAGCAGCAGCACCAGCACCAGCAGCAGCGGCAGCAGCAGCAGCGTACGAAGCAGGTGAGTGTGAGGGAGAGCAGTGGGCGGTTTGTGCTGGTGCCTGACGTCAACGACCCCAGCAAGAAGCGCTGGCAATGGGAGAAGACGGACCTGAGAAGCAGTGCAAGTGGAGGCAGGAGCAGGAGCAGCAGGGAGGGTGGTTCTCCTGGTGCTGCCGATGTTGCTGCTGGAAATGCTGCGGCTGTGAGTGGTGGGAATGGTGAGATTGGTGTGACTGGTGTTGTTACAGCAGCAGAGGGCGCTGTTTCAGCTGCATCAGGTGCTTCTGGCTCCTCTCTTGCATCTCCTGCTGCTCTGGCTGGATCGTGGGGCTCTGGTGGGTCTGCTTTAGCTGGCGCTGCTGGTGGTTCTGCTATGGGTGATTCTGGTGCTGGTAGTGGTGGTGGTGATGCTGCGTCAGCTGCTGCTGCTGCTGGGGTAGCGGCAGTGAGTGATGTCGGGGAAAGGATGCCTGAACAGTGTTCTGCTGTGGTGACACCTGTCCCTGTAGCTGCAGCACCAGCTACTGCAGCAGTGGATGGCAATTCACGAGTTAAGAAGGCAGGAAAATATTTATGGAACCTTCTTGATGACATGTAGAGCTCATTGTCCTCTGAAATTGTGATATATTTGTGTAAACCAACAGTCTCAACGTTCTCTGTGCCAGAATAACACATTCACACATTCTTTTTCTGGTTTATCCAGATTAATAGATCGACGATTCTAACGCGTTAGCAAGGCTTTCCCCCGACAATTTCGAAAGGCCATTGCATCTTGGGAATGACGCGCTATCTGCCAGCGATGAGAGAGTGTAACTTGTCGTCTGCAATCCGCTGAGTCAACCAGCGAGCAGAGTCATACATATACGGTACTAGCTGTTGTGTGGGACGGACGATAACGCGGATCGTTTGAAGGGGAATGCTTCATGCATTCAGCGCGGTAGTGTGCTTCTCTCTGAGTTTGTGTGGTTCTAGAGGCCCGTCTTTTGAAGCGTTGCGTCGTGTGCATTTTAACTCGGTCGCACCCTGATGCTGTAGTAGGCTAGTATCATTGAAGCGCGATGCCGAAAACCCGACATAGGAGGAGTCGATTCTAGAGCGCCGCGGCAGCGCATTAAGTTGATGCTGAAGGGCAGACCGTTGCTTCAACGTCGAGACGTGCCGTTCGCGGTGACTTCTGAGTTGACTCACATAACGGCGTAACGTTTCCTCGCTTGACAAAGCGTAATTGTTCCTTCGCGCATTGAGCTACGAATTGTATCCTGCCCCGCTTGCGAAAGTGGCATGCGAATGGCGAAAAATCTCAACTGCATCTTCTGCGACATCGCCAGGGGGGTTACTCGGCCGGGTCGTGAGCCGACCACGCTGCTTTACAAGGTGACGCGATTGTGGGTAATATTTCGTATCTCACTCCTTTATACTGTGTCCACGTGTCCCTGGGATCTCTGATTGGTCAATGCATAGTCTCGATATCACCCACAATCGAGTCATGCCTGTTGGTTGCTTTAGTCATCTGACTCTTTCACATTCTAGTGGCATTGAATTAACTGGCATGTCATGGCATATGGCATGGGATGGGATGGGACGGCATGACATTGATTGGCATGGCATGCCAAAGCACGGCGTATGATGGTTTTTATTGGCATGGCATGGTATGGCATGGCATGGCATGGCATGGCATGGCATGGCATGGCATGGCATGGCATGGCATGGCATGGCATGGCACGGCATGGCATGGCATGGCATGGCATGGCATGGCATGGCATGGCATGGCATGGCACGGCATGGGGAAGTCTGACATGGAATGGTGGTATGGAGTCGTGACGTGTGTGTTTCCCTGTGGATCCTTGTGCAGCACAGGATGACTCGTTAGTAGCATTCCCCGATATTAAGCCAGCTGCATACAAGTAAGTCACAATACGAGCAGACGGGATGGGGTTTGATGGACTGGGGGTTGGTGGCAGCAGATAATCCCTGCAAATGTGCTGTGTGTCCGTACATGTGTGTGCCTGCATGTATGTGTCTGTCTGCTATACATTCTGTTCTTATTCCAACTGGGGTCATGCACAGTGATTGGTGCAAGCCCAGTGAGTTTATAATCCTAACTCAGTCCTGTAGAGCATCGATGTGTGTTCTCCACCGTCCACCGTCCATGCATCCGTGTATCCATGCATCCGTGTATCCATGCATCCGTGTATCCATGCATCCGTGTATCCATGCGTCCACTTATCCATAGAGCACATAGCAACAGTGAACGATCTCACCCCCATTGAGCGTGGCTGTGTTTGTCATATTGGTGCCAATGTGCCATTTATCCACGCGCCCGTCCATGCACCCATGCACACCCATGCGCACACATTCGCACCCATGCACACCCATGCACACCCATGCGCACCCATGCACACCCATGCGCACCCATGCACACCCATGCACACCCATGCGCACCCATGCACACGCGCACCCATGCACACCCATGTGCACCCAGCGCACCCATGCACACCCATGCGCACCCATGTGCTCCCATGCTCACCCATGCACACCCATGCACATGCATGCACACCCATGCACACGCGCACCCATGCACACCCATGCGCACCCATGCGCACCCATGCGCACCCATGCGCACCCATGCCCACCCATGCACGCCCATGTGCACCCATGCACACCCATGCACACCCATGCGCACCCATGCACACGCGCACCCATGCACACCCATGCGCACCCCATGCGCACCCATGCGCACCCATGCGCACCCATGCACGCCCATGCGCACCCATGCACGCCCATGCGCACCCATGCACGCCCATGCGCACCCATGCACACCCATGCGCACCCATGCGCACCCATGCACGCCCATGCGCACCCATGCACGCCCATGCGCACCCATGCACGCCCATGCGCACCCATGCACGCCCATGCGCACCCATGCACATGCAGGCACATCCAGGTGATCCCCATCGAGCACATAGCAACAGTGAACGATCTCACCCCCAGCGAAGCACATCGGCAACTAGGTGCGTTCTTTCTTACCACTTCTGCTGGTTATGCATGCATGTGCTCGTGTATGTGCGCCTTGATCACGGCATGCACGTGTGCATGTATGAGGGCACCCATGTGTGCATACACATGTGAATTGTCTCTTCTCTACCCCCATCTCTCTCCATCTCTCTTCTCCCTTCTGTCTTGGCATCTGTTCCATCCATCTTGGCACCTCTTCGATTCACCCTTTCCATGAGAGCATCTCCACCTTTTGTGATCAGTCTATTTCTAAGTTGACTCAAAGTAGACTCCATCCATCTTGACACCTCTTGCAGTCACCCTCTCCATGAGAGCATCTCCACCTTTGCACCCCTTCCTCGCTCCCTCCGCTCCCATCAGTGGTTCATGATTTTTTCTCCTCCCTCCCATTCTCTCCCTCCCCTCCTCTCCTCCCATGCGTGCAGTGGAGAGCATGGTGACACTGGGTCAAAAGCTTGTCAGAGAACATGCACCCGACGCCAAGGAGTACCAGTGAGTCTGCGCGTTAGTGAGTCAACCAGGCCTGGGTCTCAGTGAGTCAGTGTCTCTCAATATCCGCTCCCACACTCATCCCATGCAGTGGAGAGCATGGCGGCACTGGGTCATAAGCTCGTAAGGAGCATGCACCCGACTCCAAGGAGTACCAGTGAGTCTGCGCACTAGCGAGTCTATGTGCTGATAATTCAACCCCGGCGTATTGGAAGTACTTTTGGAATCCCAAAAGTGACAGAACGAGAACTCGCATGAGCAATTCCAGACGCTCAGTAGTACCAACTGGGCAAGCATAGACTAGCAATTCACCAGCGCTGTTCCCGGTCCGGCGCAGACGCTCAGTAGTTGTTTCACCAGCGAGTCTATGTGAGAGCAAGTGGGCCCTGGCCTCGGTGGAAACGACTTGTTCCGTCCTGCCTCCTCAGCCAGGGCCTCAAAAGTCTGTTGGATGAGTACATGGGTAAGAGGCTCCCCTACCCCCCGTTCCCCTCCCACCCTCCCATTGCCCCCTAGCTTTGGCTTTCATCGTCCAATGTTCAACAGTGTCATCAACCACCTCCACCTGCACTGCCCCGCTTCTCATCCACCCTCTCGTGCGCTTCCTCCTGTCCCATCCCCCCTTCCCCCATCTCCCCGCCCGCTTGGTAGCTTTGGCTTCCACCGCCCGCCGTTCAACAGTGTCAACCACCTTCACCTGCACTGCTTCGCTCTCCCCTTCCACTCCTGGTGAGCAACGCGCAAAAGGTCTTTGTTCCAGTGCATTCTGAGCCCTTGTGGTGAGGTGCACGGGCAAAAATCTGGGCACAGTGCAATGACATGGTGTGCTGAAGTACACTCCAATCAATCTGGTTAATTCTGTCGTTTGCATTGCAGGTTCCACCAGCTGAAGTACACTCCAAGGCTATTGATTCCATTCTTCATGACACCAGATGCATTATTAGAACGGCTCGGAAAGCCATCAGCAACAAATGAATGACTTGGGATTAGAAGCAACATGATCGGATAAGACCGCTCAAATGGCTGGTTGGTGTTGGGCTGAGGTGCCCTAGGATCTTTGTAGAGTTAAAGTTTGAGTAGGATGATGTAATAGCGGGAGCGTTAAATAAGAAAGCCTTGAACCACCTTGCGCTGGTATGTGAGGGCAAAGTAAGTTGATTAAAACAGGCAGATACAAAGCTTTATATAAGAGTACAAGGAATACGAATAGATGTAATTAAACTACCTTGCTGTTGCGATTCGATACAGTGCGACTCGGGCAACTGCTCAATGTCGAGTCAGTTGTGTGTCCTTGCTGTCGCGCTGTATTGGTCAAGTCAAAGGTCGCTGACCTTTGACCTTCCCGTAACCTTCAGGCGGTTACCCTAACCTCCGAGGGTTGACTCGCGATGCTTCGATTTGGACTTCTTCGCTTTGTGTCCTGAGTTTCGACACGACAGAGGCGCTTAACACTTATTGTTCCCAACACTCCCCTTCGCTTCTGGAGTGTCGCTGATGGTGACGTGGCCTTGTCCAGTCAGTAGCATGCAGTACTCGAACTTCTGTTTTCCGAGCTTTTTGGTCAAGTAGTCGGCTGCCATCTCGGACGTGGGACAGTAGGATAGTTCGAGTTTTCCTTTCTCGATTTCGTCTTTCACGAAGAAGTATCGCAGGGCGATATGCTTCGTTCTGTTCGCGAATCCGCTCTTGTTGGCAATGCGAATTGCGGATTGGTTGTCGCAGAACAAGGTGAAGTTGGGTAACTCGGCTAACTTTGCTTCTTCCAGCAGCTCGCGAAGGTAGAGTCCTTCCTTGGTGGCTGAGCAAAGGGCGATATATTCTGCTTCAGCTGAGGAGAGAGCGATTAGTTCCTGCTTACTCGACTGCCAGGAGATAGGTCCGATAGGCTCAAGACGATAGACGTAGCCAGTGCGAGAGCGCCTGTTATCTGAATCGCCGGCATGGTCGGCATCGACATAGCCGATTAGTTTTGTTGACGGAGCTTCGCTCTTGTAGTAAGTCAGGCTGATCGTCGGCGTGCTCACGAAATAGTGCAGTGCGCGATCGAGCTCTGCCAGGTGCTCTGCTTCGGGTTTCTTGAGGTAGGTAGCGAGTTGGCTTGCGGAGTAGGATAGATCCGGGCGACAGGTGACGGCTGCGAAGAGGAGGCAGCCCAGTTTCCTCTGGTAGTCTCGAATTCCGGCAGCTTTGAGTGGAGCGGAATTTCCTTTGTTACTTCCTGCCGTGTAGCGGTATGGCGTGGCGATAGCGGTAGGTGTGAGCGAAAAACGCTTGGCGATCGTGTCGGCGTATTTCTTGGCGCTTAGGTAGATCGCATTTTCTTCTTCGCGGATGTTGAGCCCGAGGTACTGCGTGACGGTAGAAGAGACCGTGAGCGTGAGGTCCTTCTGCAGCTCCCCTTCGAACCAGGTGGTGACGTCGTCGGTGGAGCCGATGTAGAGCAAGTCGTCGACATAGACTATCAGCAGGATGTAGTCTGCGTCTTTGGTGAGTCGGTACATCCCTTGGTCGTGAGGTAGTTGACGAAATCCGATGCGAGTAAGGCGGGTGTGTAGGTGCTGTTGCCACAGCCGCGGTGCTTGTTTGATTCCGTAAAGAGATTTCAGTAGCTGACATACCTGATTGGGGTTTCCGTGGGTACCGTGTGGGAGTTCGACGAAGATTTCGGCGTCGACGGGTGCGTAGAGGAATGCATTGGCGACATCAATTTGTCGCAGCTTCTTCTTCTTCATGGCGGCGACGGCGAGAAGGATTCGGAGAGAGGTATGTCGACTGACTGGGGCGAATGTCTCGGTGAAGTCTCGTCCTTGCTCCTGATCGAATCCACGCACGACCCATCGTGCTTTGAATTTCTCGATCGTGGCGTCTGCTTTCGTTTTGATGCGGAAGACCCATTTCCCGGTGAGAATAGTCTTGTTCCTTGCCACGCTTGCGGGAACGACCTTCCAGGTGTTGCGTTCCTCCAATGCCTTTAGTTCTCTGTCCATGGCTTCACGCCATTTCTCCCTGTGTTCCCCCCCCAGAGCCTGCTGAACCGTCGCAGGCTCCTTAGGAAGCGCGTTGCCGTGCACTGCGGTGACGAGGCCGAGGATTTGCAGCCCAGTCTGTGAGTATCGGGGGAGTGTTGGATCCTCGGGATAAGCTGCTTCGTCTCCCGCTTCTGGATCGGGTATGAAATTTGGCCCTATCCGTTCTGCTTCATTTGTGTTGACTGTCGCAGGTGTTACGTAACCGTTGTTGGCGAAGTGATAGAAGACTTCGGCGTTGGCACTGTCGCGAGGATTTTCTTCGTCCATGGGCACGTTGACGGAGCAGAACGGGAGAGGTCCGGCTTCTTCCGATGCGTTGTCGACGTTCTGTTCATCCCAGTTTGCTTTGTCCGCTGCTGAGGCGAAGGCTCGGTCACCACGAAAGCCACCTGTGGGGTTTTGATTCTCGTGCAAGTTGGCGAGGTACGTTTGAAGGGTGAGTCGCTCGTAGAAGATCACATCACGTGCTGCTACTGTTTCCTTTGAGTGGACGTCGAAGATTTTCCACGCGTTGTAATTTTTCTCGATGCCGAGGTGTAGTCCCCACTGTGCCCGTTGTGAAAATCTTCCCGCTCGTGCTTCTGGGGGTCGGTACTGTACCATGCACCCGAAAACTCGTAACATTTTTGTGCTGCCCTGCTTCCTTGTCCACAGCAGGTGCGGTGATGCGTTGTTCGGGAGTGACGACGACGACAGCAAGTTGTGCAGCATGACAGCATGGTCCATTGCTGCAGGCCACTGGTGGTTGGGTAGCCGCATGCCACGTAGCAGTTTGCGCATGCTGTTCTGCAGAGTCCTGTTCATTCTTTCTGCAACACCTTGCTGCTGATGGGCGTAGGGAAGGGAGAGGAGTTGCTTGATTCCCCTTTCCGCCAGGTACTGCTTGAAGCGCTGAGAGGTGTATTCTCCTCCTCCGTCTGACTGGAAGCTTTTCAGCTGTGTTCCTGACTCCCTCTCTGCTACCGGTAGCCAAGCGGCGAACGCTGCGAGTGCCATGTCGCGGCTGGGTAGGTTTCGATGCCAGACGTAACAAGTGGCGGCGTCGATGAAGGTTATCGTGTAATTGTAGGTGACTTGTCCTGGTTCTCGATTGAAGAGGATGTCGCTGTATACTTTCTCGAGTGGTGCGTATGTAGGTGCGCTTGGGTTGTGGTGAGAAGAAAACGGTCGATGGGGTAAGTCGGCTTCGGGGCAGATAAGGCAAGTTCCTCGTGCACGTTGAAGTTCTCTGCCGTCGGGTAGTAGTAGCGAGTCCTTGTCTAGAACTCCTGCTCGAATTGTGTTATTTAACACTGTGTTGCTTGGATGTCCTGTGCGTGCGTGCCAGATGTCTTCAGGAGCGCGGTGTCCGGGTGAGCGTTGATACGCGTCGGAGTTGGAGTAGAAGCTGGCGACGAAGTTTGCGCTTCTGTGGGCTTCTCGTGGAGTTGGTTTCAACTGCTGTGCGGGTGTTGGTGGTTCTTCGTCGACGAGGACTGGTGTCGTTGTTCCTGCTGCTGCTGCCGATGTTGTCTTTTCCGCTGCCGATGATGTCTCTGCTGCTGTCGTTGTTGTTTCTGCTGCTGCCGATGATGTCTCTGCTGCTGCCGATGTTGTCTCTGCTGCTGTCGATGTTGTCTCTGCTGCTGTCGAGTGTTGTATTGTTGCTAATGTGCGTGTTCGTTCTGCTTCAGGGATAGTATGGGAGTACCAGAAGCCTTCCAGGCTGAAGTCTGGATCAAGGTCTGGAGGGTGCGTCCAGTCCGTGAAGTTAACAATAGCGTCGCTGTCTGCGGTGCCCAGGTCCGGGACGAAATCCAAGACGAAGACGTTGTTCTTCAGAACTGCCTTCCCGATGTAAAGGCCGCCTTTCCTGTGATATAATTTAAATTCCTGGGTGGTGCTGTCGGCTTCCAGGTGGATGCTCTTCGCCATCAACTGGCTGACACTCAGTAAGTTATAGCCGAGTCCCTCCGTGATGAGTACCTTTGACATGTGTAATATGACATTTGTCTCTCGTGACTGAAGCTGTACCACTCCTTGTCGTCGTGTGCGCAGGTTCTGATTGTTGGCGACCGTGATGACTACTTCTCGCTGGAGTCGATGCTCGCGTTGAACGAAGCGCCCGGAGGAGCACATATGTTGTCCGCAGCAACTGTCCAAGAACCAAGTGTCTTGGCCGGACAGTTCGCTTTGAGCAATGGCGGCGTATGTCGGATTCGGTTGAAGAGACTCGCGGCGAGGTGTGCTGTTGTCAAGTTGTTCTTCGGGTGAGCAGTACGGTGGTGACTCGGTTGTGCAGGAGTCGGTTATCTTTGCCATGCAGTTGACGATATTCCTTGGTTTTTGCGCAGGTTGTCCTGTTGGAGTCGTTGAAGCTTGGACTGAAGTTGTTGGGGCTGCTTGCGTCGAGGTGACTTGGCTGCTCGAAGGTTGGAGTTGTCGCTGTGGTGTCGTCGACTGCTGACGGGACGGGCAGTGTGTGCGAGGATGACCCGAGGTCTTGCAGATGTGACAAAACGGAGGTACCGTCTTCACTTGTTGCTGTTGTCGATTGTTGTTGCCGTTGTATCGTCGCTGAGTGTGAAACGCAAACTCCGGTGCTAATGTTTTCTTCTTGTGTCTTTCTTCTTGCAGGTCCATGTCCTGCTGCTCGGCGTGGATTTCGGCGCAGAGTGCCGCTTCGGAGATCCTCCCGCGTGCTCGTAATATGGCGCGAGTGGAGCGCCAGTGGGGGCCGAGACCGCCGATGACCACCGTGACAAAGGGGTCTTCTGAAATTGACCCTCCGCATCGAAGAAGCTTGTCGCGCAGTTCGCGGCAGCGGCTGATATAAGCCATGCCTTTCTCGCCTGGTTTCATTTCAATCGTTGTCAGCTGCGCCATTAACCTGCTTTGATTTACGCTGTCTGTTGCTTGATACAGGTTCTTCAGGTGGTTGTACGCGAGCTCCGTGGAGTTGCCGTAGCCTCGATAAGGCCTGATGTTCTGCTGTTGGGCCGGGGTAATGTTCCTCAGTAGTATAGTGTACGCCATCATTGATTGATAAGTATGCTGCTGCTTCTCATACTGTGTGCCGTTTGTTGGATATGGCAGGGACCCGTCGAAGAAGCCAAGGATTTGCGCTCCTTCCATCATCAGCTCGAATTCGAAAGACCAGGTGAAGAAGTCTTTTCCGTCAAAGGGCTTTGTCGTTTGCAGCTTTAAAACGTGCGCGAATTGCGACTGAACTTGTAATGCGTCCAGTGCTCTCTCTTGTCCCGGTGCAGGTTGTGGTTGCGGCATAAAGCTGACGAACGCTGGGGCTCGTACGGAGCAAAGGTGGGTTGTTGATGTTGATTCCCGCGCGCGTAGGATGAGCCATCGAGACTCATAGGCGTCACGTTGTAGTTGTTGTTGCTGTTGTTTGATTGCGCAGGTGCTCCTTGCTGGTGCTGCTCGTAGAAGGACATGAAGGAGAAAAATTTCTCCATCATGCTTGGATCGAAGCCCGTGCCTTGGTTTGCGGGGGTTTCCGTAGACCCAGCTGCTGGTCTCGTCGTTGTCCCTGACAAAATTAGAAGAAAGAAAGGGGGATGAACTAGCAGAAATGGGGATACAAATAGCAAACCCTAGAAGGGTTGTACTCGCTATAGAGCACCCCACTACAGGCTAGAACATAAGATAACATTCTGACAGTCCCCTCCTCTGTCAGTAGGCCAGAGGCAGGTGGTGGAGTAGGGGTAGTACCGGGAGAGCCGTTGGAGGAGCTCCTCTCCTTTCTAGCAGACATGTCTTCTTTGATGTACTCAGTGTTGAATAATGAATTTTTAACTCTAACTGCTCTCATACCATGTTGGGCTGAGGTGCCCTAGGATCTTTGTAGAGTTAAAGTTTGAGTAGGATGATGTAATAGCGGAAGCGTTAAATAAGAAAGCCTTGAACCACCTTGCGCTGGTATATGAGGGCAAAGTAAGTTGATTAAAACAGGCAGATACAAAGCTTTATATAAGAGTACAAGGAATACGAATAGATGTAATTAAACTACCTTGCTGTTGCGATTCGATACAGTGCAACTCGGGCAACTGCTCAATGTCGAGTCAGTTGTGTGTCCTTGCTGTCGCGCTGTATTGGTCAAGTCAAAGGTCGCTGACCTTTGACCTTCCCGTAACCTTCAGGCGGTTACCCTAACCTCCGAGGGTTGACTCACGATGCTTCGATTTGGACTTCTTCGCTTTGTGTCCTGAGTTTCGACACGACAGAGGCGCTTGAGACTTATTGTTCCCAACAGTTGGCATATAAACTCACCTATAAATCATATGTCTCTGAGCTGTCTGTGCTCACGAGAGGATGTTCCATATAACTTTGCTGTGGGTCTTTCTCGGGTAACCTGAAGTTATCATAGGCAGATTCTTGCAATGTGTTTGGCAATGCACACTATGTTGTTAACAAAAGCTCTCAAAAGCTTTCTTCGTTCAAAACTTGTTTTGCACAAAGTGAGTGTTTCAATATCGCGGAAAACTGCATTTCTGTTCTCCGCTTCCCGTTGTGCCTAGGAATTTCGACTGCTGTCAGTCAGTCCTAATTCTTACGTCCTCGATATTATCCAAGCTCTTTTTTCACAACGGGTGCTTTTCCCGCCTTTTTTCACCAGCCGGGAGCCGGAGCCCTAAGATTCGACGGTCTACGCACCCGCATCCCCCGTCATCCCCCGCCTTGTCATCCTCATCACACTGATTTGTGTAACACACTGCTTACTTCAGCACTGGGCAAAGCGTGGGCTTACCTTAGTAACTTGGTAGCTTGTTAGCAGTCTCCTGGTAACGTGTGAGCTCTATGAGTAACGCGCTGCTGAATTTTTAGTAGCGCTAATAGTACCGTGCATCAGCGACGCGTCGATTCGCGTCCGCATGGATTTAAGCGGCGACGGCGGAGTGGTGAAGAAAATCCTCCGCGCCGCTAAACCCGACGCGCTGCAGCCGTCCGATACGTACCCGATTGCAGATGGTGCGATATCAGCTGCTCGCCGGGTAACCCTGCATTATTTACTTATTCATTTATGTTAAGTTACAGGCATTTCATTTGAGTGGAGTGCCTGCGCGAGGGTTGACCTGGCGTTTTTTTACTCCGGAAATTAGCGTACTAGGTTTATCCAACCAAGTTATCCTGCCTGCAACATGCTCTTCCTCTCTCTACCCCCAATTCCCTCCTCCTCTTACCCTCACTTCCCCCCTCCTTCCCCTCCCCCGCTCTTCTCATGTGCAGTGCACTACAAAGAGCGACTGGCCCCCAACGAGGTATATTTGACAACTTGAGGAAGGACAATGCCGCTGCGCTCCCAACCCAACAAGATTCCCCCCTCCACGCCCTCATTCCCAGCCCACCCATCCCCTCTGCCTCTTACCCTTCCCCCTCCCTCCCCTCCACCTGTCTACTGTCCACTATGAGCAACGGCTGACCACCGGGGGGGAGGTGAATCTTGAGGCGCCTCAAAATGAAATCCGCGTGCATTGAGTTGGATTTTGAGGCGCCTCAAAATCCCTCCCTCCCCTCCACCTGTGTACTCTCCACTATGAGCAGCGGCTGACCACCAGGGGCGGAGGTGGTGGACGGGTCGGGGGAGGGGAGGACAATGCTGTGTCATCACCCCTTCCCTCCGTTTTCATCCCCCAGTGCATCTCCTCCCTCCCTCTTTCCGCCCTCGCGTCTTTCTCCCTCCCCTCCTGTTTCCAGTGCACTACGAGGGGCGGCTAACCACGGGCGAGGTGTTTGACAGCTCGCGGGAGGACAACGCAGTGTTCACCGCACCCCCCTTCCCGCCTCCCCCTCCTCCCGCTCTCCCCCCCCTCTATCCAGTGCACTACGAGGGGCGGCTAACCACGGGCGAGGTGTTTGACAGCTCGCGGGAAGATAATGCTGTCTTCACGTTTGAAGTGGGCAAGGGGAAGGTCATTCGCGCATGGGACATCGGCATCAAGAGCATGAAGGTGAGTTGTGTGTTTTGCTTTTTGTCTTTATACTGGCTGGCAGAAAACATTAATTGTTCTTTCAGGGTAATCACTGGTAATTATACTCAGTAATTCGCGCATGAGACATTGTAATCAAGATTGCAGTACTGTTGTGAGTATGAACCTGTTTGTTCATTCCCTTGTTCCTCCTCTCTCACTTGCACCCTTTTCACTTACCGGACCTAAATACGTGTGCTGACAACAGGTGGGTGAGCTGGCAGAGCTGACGTGTCAATCAGACTATGCATATGGAGATGTTGGTTCTCCTCCCGAAATTCCTCCAGGGTATGCCCATGCATGCCCATGCATGCCCATGCATGCCCATGCATGCCCATGCATGCCCATGCATGCCCATGCATGCCCATGCATGCCCATGCACGCCCATGCATGCCCATGCACGCCCATGCATGCCCATGCATGCCCATGCACGCCCATGCATGCCCATGCATGCCCATGCACGCCCATGTATGCCCATGCATGCCCATGCATGCCCGTACATGCCCATGCATCCGTGCATCCATCCCAGGGTTTGTCCACGCATGCGTGTTCGTATTTACCCTGTTTCTGTTTCTTCATGTGCCCGGATGATACCACACATGCTTTTTGCATGCTTTATATTTTCTCTCCGTTTAGGAAGCAACACGAATTTTTATTCCCCTCTGTCCTTCATTGGTCCACGTGGCAGCGCCACATTGGTGTTTGAAGTGGAGCTTATGGCTGTTCGCCCCCCCAGAGGCTCTGTCTCCACGGCTGCTGCTGAGAAGGGCCGATTAGAGTGAGTGGGAGGAGGGGAGAGAGTGCAAGGAGAGTGAGTGAGAGGGGGAGAAAGATGATTAGTGAGTTGCTCATTGAGCCAGCCCATGCCTCATGGCTCTTCTCCCCCCAGAGGCTCTGTCTCCCCTGCTGCTGCTGAGGAGGGGCGACTAGAGTGAGTGCGAGGAGATAGTGAGTGAGAAAGGATGAGAGTGAGAGGAGGAAATGGTTGAGAGAAGAGAGCGAGTGAGGGAGGCATTTGCGAATATGCACAGACTGCATTAAATCTCAAGACAAGCCCCGACCCCCAGAAGCCGACCCCCAGAAGCTAATTGACCATCACTGACTGCTGCTGCTGCTGCTGCTGCTGCTGCTGCTGCTGCTGCTGGGAAGAGCAGACTGGAGCAAGTGAGGAATGTTCACATGCAGAGCAGCACTCTGTGTGCCGCTTCCAATCTCTTCCCGTTCTTTCCCATCCCTCCCGTTCCTCCGCCCCCTGCCTGTGGCAGTGAGTTGAGAGCAGAGAGGGAGGCAGCAGCAGCGCGGAGGGAGGAGGAGAAGAAGAAGAGGGAGGATGCCAAAGCAGCTGCGGCTGCTAGGGCGGCTCAACTGAGTGCCAAGGTAACGGGGAAAGGAGGAGGAAAGGGAGGCAAGGGGAAGAAGAAATGATGTGGACGGGTGGGTGTCATGTTTAGGCCAATACATGGGGAGGAGAAGAAGAGGGAGGGCGCCAAGGCTGCTGCAGCTGCTAGGGCGGCTCAACTGAGCGCCAAGGGAACAGGGAAAGGTGGGATAAAAGGAGGGAGAAAGGAAGGCAAGGAAGTAGAAAGAAGACTTGCATGTTTTGCTGGCATGATGGAATGACAACATGACACACACAGAAGTGGACTTTTGTTAGTTTGCTCAAAAAGGATGCAAGGGGAAGGAGAAAAAGGACTTGCATGTTCCGCTGGCATGATGGGATGTCAAACTAGCGGGCCCTTTGCTGTCCTTTTTGAGTCGCCTCAAAAGTCGCCTCAAGAGTCACCTCGTGATAGGTTGGGTTTGGCACTGGCCCATGACCCATCCAAGTGGCTGACTGACTCATCTTTTGCCCGGGAAGGCTTGAGTTGTTGGGCAGGAATTTGCAAGTAAGGTGATAGTGTTGTTGTGACTGGTGATATGTATGCTGTAACTGCGTGAGACATGGTTTTAGCGTCTGAAAAAAGTTCCATAACAAAGAGGAGGTATTTGAAGAGATATGGGGGGCTCTTGCTAACTGCAAGAGTTTCTGTTGCCACACACGTAAAAAATGGCACAAAATCCCAATTCTCTCACAATAATCAACACAGCCCTGGTTGGCATGTTACCCACCCACATCCCCATTCAAGAGTTTTGGGTCGAATTAAAGCCAGCAGGCAAAATAGTGACCCCCCCCTTCTAGTTGGGTCCACTTGAAGATGAAGTATTTTTGTTTTGTTTTGGAATGTTGGAATTGCTGTATGTGTGCTTTTTTTTCCGACCCTTGGACGAGTTTCTTATTGGACCAGGAACGATAGTTCATTGTCAATTCTGATTGGCAGCCAGGTTCTCTCACATGTACATGTGCGAATTTGGCGCAAAGTTGAGCGACGAGCACTCCTGCATTCACTAGAGCCAATACTTCACCAAATTCACAACTAGCAACATCTCACGCTAAATCCCAAGCAGACACACATGTACGTGATGAGAGTGAAAGTGTTTGAACGTTGTTAGAGCTAGTAGAGCTCTGATCAATGTGCTGCCTTGGACTTGAGGCCTAGGAGAGGTGCAATAACGGGAAACAGAAGAGAAAAATAGCACTAGGGGGGAAATTATGATGGGCAAGGTGACGCGAATGAAGAGAAAGAGGGAGGGCGACGGGAAACGGGAGGGCGACGGGAAGGGAGGGCGTAGGAAACGGGAGGGCGACGGAAGAAGGGGGGCGACGGGAAACGGGAGGGCGACGGGAAACGGGAGGGCGACGGTAAACGCGAGGGCAACGGGAAACGGGAGGGCGACGGGAAACGGGAGGGCGACGGAAAGCGGGAGGGCGACGGGAAACGGGAGGGCGGGAAACGCGAGGGCGATGGGAAAAGGGAGGGCGACGGAAGAAGGGAGGGCGACGGGAAACGGGAGGGCGTCGGGAAACCGGAGGGCGACGGGAAACGCGAGGGCGACGGGAAACGGGAGGGCGACGGGAAAAGGGAGGGCGACGGGAAACGGGAGGGGGGCGGGAAACGGGAGGGCGACGGGAAACGGGAGGGCGACGGGAGAGAGGATAGGCGGCGGGAGAGAGGGTGTCGAGAATAGATGGAAAGACAGAAAAAACAAACAAACCAAACACAATAACAGAGTACGGAATGGGTCACGCTGACGCGATAGCAGAGGGAGAACGAGAGAGGCGACGGAGAAAGGAGGGCATACGTGATGGGAGAGTCGAAGGTCGCCGGGAGGGCTATTCGAGGCGAGCGAGAAGGGAGGATGGGAAGGGAGCAGAAAGAGAGAGGGCAATGGGAAGGGAGCGGAGAGAGAGAGAGCGCGCCGGGAAGGGAGCGGAGAGAGAGCGCGATTCGAAGGGAGAAGCGAGAGAGAGGGCGGAGCGGGGAGAGAGAACGCGATGGGAAGGGAGGGGCAAGAGAGAGGGCGACGGGAAGGGCGCGGAGAGAGAGAGCGCGACGGGTAGGAGGGGCGAGAGAGAGGGCGACGGGAAGGGAGCGGAGAGAGAGATCGCGACGGGAAGGAAGGGGCGAGAGAGAGGGCGATGGGAAGGGAGCGGAAAGAGAGAGAGCGCGACGGGAAGGGAGGGGTGAGAGAGAGGGCGATGGGAAGGGAGCGGAGAGAGAGAGCGTGACGGGAAGGGAGGGGCGAGAGAGAGGGCGAGGGGAAGGGAGCGGAGAGAGAGAGCGCAACGGGAAGGGAGCCGAGAGAGAGGCCGACGGGAAGGGAGCGGAGAGAGAGCGCGATTCAAAGGAGGAGCGAGAGAGAGGGCGGAGCGGAGAGAGAGATGTTGAAACAGTTCTAGAACCTAGGAGGCATGGAAACCTTAGGTGCTAGGAAGGGGGTTAACGAGAGTATCGAGAGGAGAAAGTTTGCAACAAAAGAGGTTGTTCACTATAGAGTGAGCAGTACAAATAGGCAAGAATTATGAAAGGTGCACCACCAAACAGAAAGTTATATGACTACAGTATTCTACACTACAGGCAGTTACAAAACAATATATATAGAATAATATATTATTCTCACACGCCCCCATAAGTGCCTGTAGGGAAGAATGTGCAGTCAACGCCCCCATAATGGGGTACACCAGACAGGCCGCAGCGGAAATCACAGCAACAGGCAAGTGCAGTGGCAACCGGTGCAGTGATGGCAGATCCAGCTGTACCAACCCCTTGACCAAGGCAGAAACAATAGCAGGTGTTGGGGCGGCAGGTCGCCTGAGGAGCAGGCTCTGTGGCTGCAACATGCAGCAGGACAGCAGCGGCTCGACGGCAGCACCTGCAGGCCCCAACAGCAGGTAGCAGAAGCAAAGGCAGCAAAGGCAGGTGGTAGCAGGGGCGGCAGCTGGAGGTGTCAGTAGATCTGCACTGTGGATGCCCGATTGATCCTGGAGAGGGTTACAGGCGCGTTCGCCTGGGGGGTTATGGGCGCACTGACCCGCTACTGAAACAAGCCCTTTTATCCCAATGGTCTAGTGGTTGGGATTCTGACATGGTATCAGAGCGGTCTCGGGTTCGATTCCCGGTGTATGCACATGTAGGCCGTTGCCGCTGTGCTTAGTCCTGGGCCTCCCATTGTGGGGGGGTGTCAGTAGATCTGCACTGTGGATGCCCGATTGATCCTGGAGAGGGTTACAGACGCGTTCGCCTGGGGGGTTATGGGCGCACTGACCCGCTACTGAAACAAGCCCTTTTATCCCAATGGTCTAGTGGTTGGGATTCTGATAGGAGGTGCCACGGCAGCAGCGGGCGACAGCAGCAGATGACCGGCTGACTTCCGTCGCCCCCTCATTCTCCCCCCCACAGCGGCACGTGCGGCAGTGAGAGAGAGAGGAGGGGCGTCAGCTTCTTGCTCACACCCACCACCCCAAACCCTCCCCCCCTCCACTGCTGCACGTGCAGCAGGGAGAGAGAAGGGACGGCGTGTGGCGGCGTAGCGGTGTGGCGCAGCAGCGAACAGAGTGTCGTCAACCACCCTCGCGCCTCCCCCTCCCCCCCCCCTCGCCACACCTTCGTCCACAGCGGAAGACACGGCAGCGGGCGTGGTTGGCGTTGGCGAGATCGCGGGTAGGGGGGGGAGTAACGTGGGGGTGCAACAGGTGCCGCGACGAGCGCCTTCGCACAGCTCGCCGTCGCTTGCGTGGCAGCTGCAGTTGTAGCAGCCGCATGTTCGACGGGAGGGCGGGGCAGGGGGCGCGTTTGGCGACTGAAGCAGCTCGGCCGCCACACCCGCCGTCTCCCCCCAAAGCGACCGTCGATGCAGACGCTCGGGGCCGCGACAGGGCGTGACGAGGCTGCAGTAGGGCGCGATGGGCAGGCGACGGGGCCGACGACTGGGGCCGCGAAAAACAGCGCCAAGTTCGCCACGCTCAACTTCGCAACATTCGCGACAAGCGGCTGAACGGGCACAGCTGGGGCCGCGACGAGCGCCATGGTAGGAGCGATATGCGGTGGGCCCATGGAAAAAAAAATCAGGTCCTAGGATAGGAACCACTCTGATAACATGTTGAAACAATTCTAGAACCTAGGAGGCATGGAAAGCTTAGGTGCTAGGAAGGGGGTTAACGAGAGTATCGAGAGGAGAAAGTTTGCAACAAAAGAGGTTGTTCACTATAAAGCGAGCAGTACAAATAGGCAAGAATGAAGAAAGGTGCACCACCAAACAGAAAGTTATATGACTACAGTATTCTACACTACAGGCAGTTACAAAACAATATATATAGAATTATATATTATTCTGACAAGAGAGAGCGATGGGAAGGGAGGGGCGAGAGAGAGGGCGACGGGAAGGGCGCGGAGAGAGAGAGCGCGACGGGAAGGGAGGGGCGAGAGAGAGGGCGACGGGAGGGGAGCGGAGAGAGAGAGCGCGACGGGGCGAGCGACAGGAGGGCGATCGGTAGGGAGGGGCGAGAGAGAGGCGGACGGGAGGAGAGGAGGGGAGAGAGGGCGACGAAGAGGGCGACGGGACGGGCGACGAGATGGCGACGTGACGCGCGACGGAAAGGGAGACGGGTGGGCAATTTGGCGAACTCGAGGATAGCATAGTGGGCGATGAGAGGGGTGAGAGGAATGGCGATGGGAATGGGGTTCTCTGTGATCGCGAGGAAGATATCACTACGCAGCAATGGCGACGAAGTATCACAAACAATCTAATGATAATTTCATTTCTATGCCGCATCAGCCTAATCCCTCGTCTCTGGCTATTCTATGCTAGGCAAGCTCCGTGAGTTAGGCAAGCTACGTGAATGGAGTTGAAGTAAGCATATGTGGAACCCAGGCCCAGCTTGAAAGTCGTAGTCGGGTCCAACCATCAAAACGCACGACAAACAACTGTCGTGCAAATGTCGCATGCAGAAAATGCGAACGCGCGAGCACGATCTGTTTTTTTTTTGTTTTTTTTTGTGGGAACGAATCACGTGTGTTCAGTCTGTGGAAGGGCGATGCCCGGAACAGTGTTTTACACAGCCCATCGTCGTTCCATTTTTGCTTCTTCCGAGCACGATTTCAAGTTGGATCCACATGCATACAGTTAGATACCGGTAAGAATTTATGATTCTAACACTCCACTCCACAACAATCGCACCACTACATGAAACCTTAGCAGTGCACTTGCACCCAAATGCTTTTACTTCACCTTCCGAACCTTGCCACAGAGCGCAAACTTGTTACTCACATGCCCCACAACTGCGTACGAATTCGTCACAACAGCCGTTACAACCCCGCGGGCCGCAGCCTCACTGCTTCCAATGTTCTCTGTCTCATACCTAAAGCTGTAGCGCTTGCGGCGTGCAGCCTTTTCACTTGTGATGTTGACCATAGCATTTATTTGTGTGGGCTCGGTTGTGCCGCAGGAAGATACGAAGTCATAGACGGGATAATCTCCCCCCTTGAGGTTCAAGAACACAAACTCAAAATGCGAGGTGAACGAAGAGGAAGAGTACCTGTCAGCAGGAGCAAGCAGAGATAGTCATTAGAGAGTATTGCCAGTGCACTGCATAGATGCTCGGGTAATGCCAGTACAATGTCAAAAGTACCATAGATGCTGGCTTTGATTTGGTACAAACACTTGAAGACTCAGAGAGAATACACAGTGGTATGCTGACGTATGAAGAAGTGCGATGAGGGCGTATCTTTGGTTTGGGTCATGGCATTGTTTGGGTCATGCGCGAATCCCGCATGACCCAAACAGCACAAAACGGAACTTTGGGTCATGAGAGCTCAAGCGACACAAGGATGGGTGCGCGACTGAAATGTGAAAAATCGCCCGCCGTCGAAAAGTCGCCCCCAATGGCGGGAAGCCAAAACATTTCGCACATAGGCGAAACCCACTTTGAGCGACTCCCACGTCTCCTTCCCAACCGTCACAATTCACGGCGGGAGATGTCAATTTGAGATCCGCCACCATTCACAAACCAAACCCAACCACATCCGAGGTAGAACCTCACACAGGTTTCACAGTCACCCGCAACCAAACAACACAAACACAAGTAGCATTGGTTTGTAGGCACTACCCGCTACTGTCAAACACGCCACCCATAGCTATCGAGAGCGCAAGTAGAATGACGAAGTAGGCACACAATGCCACCACGTAAAAATGTTCGTGGCAAGGGTAGGGAGAAAGTGCCCGATGATGAACCGATCGAGGACTCCCCTTACGTAGCCTGGATGAAGGCGCAGCAGAAAGAAGGAAAAGCGGGTCCTTCCATCAAGCGCCTTGCCAAGCCACGGCGCGATTATGCAGGAGCAAGTTCCAGCCGCGTGCAGCGCAATGAAAGTGGCGAAACTGGAGGTGACACAGACGTCAGCGACGATGACCTCGAGGAGATCATCTCTGAATCTGGAAGCGAGGATGACTCGGATAACTCCAAGGGCGCAAGTGACGAAGATGATAACGACTCCGACGGAGGCGATGATGCAAGCGGCGCACACTGACGCACCGGTGGATCGAGGCGTGATAGGCGCCAATCGACCTCAAGCAGCACGCGCAAGTGGGAGATGCACGAGCTAGTGTCACTTGCGGCGGCCCGGTGGAATACGAAAGATGACCTCAAGGCGATGCAAGGGAAGCAGGAAAGTCAGTACTGGAAGATGCTCCGCGCGCACATGAAGGAGAAGGACCCGACGTGGGACTGGGAGAGCGGGCAAATGTCCATGGCGTGGAAGCGGATTGAGAAGGAATACCTGGACACTCAATGGAAGGAGGGGACTAGTGGAGGAAAGGCCATAAAAAAGAAGCCATGGTGGGACTACGTCTACCACCTGAGAAAGCACTTCGCGAAGGCGAAGGCGCACGCGCTTGATGGTGGCGGGGCAGCGACCATCAATGTCGACGCCTATGCCTCCGTGCCAGCGCAAAACGATCCGCAAACATCGGGGGCTCCGTCTCCAGCACGAGCGCGCGGAGCCCAGCTTCAACCATCTACCCCTGGTGCATATACGGGTTGTGTTTTATAATCGTAATGAGCGACATTAACTGTGTTGTTGGTTGGATGGTTGTTTGACTTATTGCACGTTGCATGAAGACAAACCTTAGAACATTACAACTCATGAGATTAAAAGCACGGCCGCCTTATTCCCTGTTTTCCTACACCCCCCCCTACAGATGCAGGTGTCACACCACCTGCCAAACGCCGCCGGATAGAGGAGACCGCGACAATGGCGGCCGCTAAGCTAGTGAGCAAGGCCATCAACTCCACCAATGCCTCCACGCTACGGCAGCTGCAGGATTCCACTCAACTGCTCGTCGCGGCGATGCACATGGCGGCGCTTTAGGCTGGGCTGCGATTGCAGATCCCGAATCCACCAGCTCCCAATGCCGGACCACCAACTTCGCCGCTGCCTGCCCAGCCGGATGCAGAGGGAGATGCAACGATGGACGGGTCCGATGATGGTGCTGAGGAGCCGGATCCTTAGCGCAGAGAGTTGGAGACCTGGTTGCGCCTGAGGTAAGCACGATGAATGTGCTTGCCAAAATGGCGCCTTCGTGCACGCAAATCCGCCAGCGAGGGGTTGTCTAGCGTCGGCCAGTTGTACGTGCTCATCCCGCCAAGGTCCACCACCCATTTGGGAGGCCCGCTCACAGGATGCGCCTTGGGTTATGCGTCTTCATCCTCGGTGTGCTCACTTTCTGCATCATGTTGTGCAGGATGATGATGCAGGCCGTCCCGGCGCAAACCCTCCAGAGCTTGCTCTCGTGCCTCCTTGCGAAGAGTCGCCATCGACCCTTCAGCGCGCCGATCGTCCTCTCGACCACCATGCGCGTCGCCGACTGGACGTAGTTGTACGTCTGTTCCCATTTCTTCATGAGTCGACGGTGGGGTGCATGGATGAGAGTGAGGCAGTAGGACGTTAGAGGATAGGCGGGATCTCCTACGATCTGATAAGGGGCGATTTCCCCATTCTCGAGCCTGCCATAGAGATCAGTGGTCTTGAAAACACCCTAGTCATGCATAGATCTAGGATTCCCCACATTGTAATCCCATATGACGCCTTTGGAGTCGCATGTCACTTGTAACTGAACGCTGTAGATTGACTTCCGATTGTAGTAATCGGCACGATGCGCCTCCATGCCCCTGATCTCCACGTGGGTGCCATCTATGGCACCAATGACGTTGGGGCAACCCTTGATGGCGTGGAAGTCAAGCGCCATCTCTTCACGCTCGTCCTCAGCTGGGAACCGCACCCAATCACGTTTGAACCGCCATGGGAACCACACTGAAAGGCATCAAGTAGCTGGTGAATGACAGCCTTGGGCAGCCCAAACATGATGCTCAGGTCATGGAACGTTAGCGCACTTGCAAAGTACTTGATTGGGATAACGCAACACAAAGAGAGAGGAATGTCGTGCCTCTCGATGAAATGCCAAAGAGGGTGCGCCATTTCGTCCGCGATGATGTCGAGGACGTCGCGGGTGATGCGGAACGTGTCCTCGAATTCCTCGTCAAGCATCGCCCTGAGCTCCTCCGTCCATTCTTGAATGCATTGCTCACGACGCCTTTTCCGACTGTCACGGCGCTCTTGGGCCTTGCGAATATGTTCCTCATCCTCAGCCTGCGACATTGGCAGAATCGTGGTGATCCACTCTAGAGCGGTGAGCGACACTATGCGCTGCCAAGTGTTTAATAGGTGCTCATGCCAGAGATGCAACCCAACACAGAGTATGAGCAGATGTGTCGTGAGCATGGTGAGCCTCCAGAAAGAGGCGGCATTGTGTCATTTCCTAACTCGTAAGCGACAGATGTTCTACGTGCCTCCAGAGCGCGTCTACCATTATCGCGCCTTCTTGCCTGGGACCCTATGGTCACCTTGGTGGGGCGCGGCTTGCTTTTATCGGAGGTGGTTTTGTGCGGGGCGAGGCGCGAGGGAGTTTCTCTTCTGGATTTGTGCAGGCTACACATATGTAGACTGGTGAAGGTCTGTCGACTTACAGGTACGCCAACTTCAATTGTGGTGTAGTCGGGAAATTGACGGGGGGGAGTACGGTTTGACGACCGTCTAAAGGGGGGTACCGAATGTGCGGTCGAGCAGTGATTGGATTGGTGGGGGTCAGATCGTGCACGTCAGTCGCACATAGCTTGCACATTGACCCGAAGCTGGGACCGCGCGCGCTTCGGAGTACCACTTTGAGTCATGCGCGAATTCCGCATGACCCAAACAGTACTATGAACAGTGCCATGACCCAAACCAAAGATACGCCCTGAGACCAACTCGTAAGATTGTTTTTGAGAATTCAAAAAAACAATCCACAGCGTCGAAGACTCCAAGAGAACACACTGTGGTTGTTCATGCGGACGCCCGAAGAAGTGCGATGGGGACCAACTCATAAGACTCTCAAAAGTAATTGTGACTCCACAGGACTCGTGACAGCGCTGCCAGTGGAACAAGTGTGGCCTCAGGGGCACAGTTGTTAAACACTCTCAAATCTTACAGAAGTCATTAAGACACAACAGGACTCAGTCAGTGCCACCATTGGACCAAGTGAACGAGGGGACAAGTGAACGAGGGGACAAGTGAACGAGGGAACAAGTGAACAAGGGGACAAGTGAACCAGGGGACAAGTGAACGAAGGGATAAGTGAACGAGGGGACAAGTGAACGAGGGGACAAATGAACGAGGGGACAAGTGAACGAGGGGACAAGGACGTACTTCACTGCCTTGATAACAATTCTCCCCGAAGCTCCACTGTCACCGATTACTTTCCCTTTAACCTTGGTGGGACGCAGCTTGACCACGTATTTCACTAGCAACGGGAATGGGAGGGATCGGGAAGAAAGAAACAAAGTTGGTAGCTGTTGATTCTGAGGTTGGCGTCAGCACCATCAACGGGAATGCAAGTGTAGGGAAGGAGGGAAAGTGAATGATATAGCACACACTTCAGCTGCAGCAAACACTTCAGCTGCAGCAAACACTTCAACTGCAGCAAACACTGCAGCACTCACTGGAGCACACACTGCAGCACACAGTGCTGCACACACTGCAGCACACACTTTATTTGAAAGCAACCTTATTAATCTACGGGCTGCATACATGCACAAACCATCAGAAGACATTCTGGTAATATTACTGCACCCAATGATTCTATGCGCACGGAGGTCATACAGTCAACATTGGGCAGAGTGTGAAGGGTTCGTCGTTGGAAACCACAGCCGCTTGAGAAGAGATGTAGATAACGAGAGTCCTTAGCTGGGACGGCTGACACACTTACAATAAACCTTTCCCTTCCAAAGCAGAGGCCTGGCCTGAGCGGCAGAAGCGGTAGAAGCGGCAAAAGAGCCGCCGAGGTGAGAGAGGAGCGGGGGGAGCAATGACGTGGCCGACGCGCCGTAGTAGGCAGTGAAGAGCGTCGCACCTGCAGGCAGGAAGGCAGGCAGGCGGGCGGGCGGGCAGGCAGTCAGGCAGGCAGGTAGATTTCAGAGGTGACTGCGTGGGGCACGATTTTGGAACAAACTGACGGATCTGCCTTATCATATAAAAACAAACAGCCGTGAAGTTGAGTTAGGATAATCCTATTCTCGCCGAAGGCCATGGAACTTGTGCGACGTTGTGTTTTCCAGTATTTTCTTTTTCCCGACTCTCTTCATTACAGTGCACACAGCAAGTATCGATCCGTCGTCCGCTCAAATGTCTTGTAGAGGACTCTTTCTGGACACTGGATAAGTCACATTTTTTAATACATTATGGTCAGATACCGTAACCTTGAGATTTGCAGAAAGACTCTTTCTGGACATCTTAGGGACCTCGAAAAACAACACTTTGGATACAATAGCTACCCGGCTGCATTTCGGATCCAGACTTTTTGGTGATCATGCGATAATGCAGCTTGCAGCAGCCCAATGGCAGAGATGAATTCTGATGGACTTACAGAGCAGCAGGCGGCAGAGGAGAGATGATGGTAAAGCAGCACGGTGCTCCATTATGCTGATGGTGATATCAAGTTATTCTTCGTCCGCTTCTAGGTTTTTGGAAGAACTATAGTTCTAGGTATACCTACAACTGGAATCAAGTCAGTGGCGCAATCGCAATCTGCTTCCAAATTTAAAGTGTCGACAATCAGTGTCCCACCATTCGCCCTGGTTTGAAACCACTCAGTGAGCTGGCGGGCGAAGGGGAGAGAGAGAGAGACATCTGGGCTGTTAGGGTGAGCGTTGAACAGGGTAAGAGATCGAGTCGATCTCCAGAAAGATTCCCTCCACTCGTTCACATCGGTGATACTTGCCTATTGTACCATACAATAGTAGCCATTCGGCGAGTGGCACGTGTTGCCTGAAGATAAACCGTTAGTTCCATGTATACGACAAAACCCAGTCTGGTGCACCGCAGTCAACAATACCGCTCGGAGCGGCATCCCAACTAAACCCGAGGCTAACTACTAGTCTGAGGCCACCGGCGCCGACGTGGAGTGACGGGTCTACACTGGCAGTGTGTACGTGTACACTTGATGGCGCCGCGGCGCCACCCAGTCACCCAGTGAATGCCTAACGACCTGAGGCTAGCGTGCCACCCATTTGGTGCCTAATAAGAAGAAGACGTGCTCAAGCAAACCGAGTTAGTACAGTCTACTACGCCTAGTAGGCGTTGACACGTTCGACATGTAAAGTAACCTGTATGCCTTTGTTTTGTTGTTTCTAATATCGGAATGTTCTATTACTAGCACAGAACAAGGTGCTGCACACCATTATCGCAACCTCGAGAGGGGCTTCAAGGGCTATTGTGTATGCCAGAGGCTTGTAAACGCGTGCCCACGATTTGATGTTGGATGGGTGGTGTGTTGGGTTGGGGTGGGGTGGGGGGTGGTGGTGAGAGAGGAAAGCGAAATGGGGTGTAAGATGGTGACAAAAACGAGTCTGACTGTGGCCGTGTTTGACAGCAAAAAACACCAACGATGTGGCCCGAGTCGCTGGCCTAGGTTTTTAGCCGGAGCACGGAACAGACAAAAGGCAATTTGGCAGTCGCTGCACAGTTATTCCAGCTGCTACAATAAGACGTGTACGGTTCATGGCATTCCAGGCCCCCCAACAAACAAAACTTTTGGATGCAATGCAACGCATGAAGGCCCAACGGCCAGAAGTACAGTACAGTACAGTACACATGATGCGCAGCCCGTGCTATTGAATTTACCTGTCCATTCCAAATCCGTGCCAATTAGTTACCGGGCAGTTGCACATGGCTTACAGACCCCCTCATCAGCTTGCATAGGCAAGGCGGCTTGTCAAACTGGCAACGTGTGGAGCAAAACAACAACGCTTCTTGGGCGAGCTCGCAACTGTAGAGTT